AGAGGGTGGTGAGTGGGGCGTCAGTATAGGGGCCCAACAAATGTTTGCTGGTTAATTTTGGCTATGCACATGATAAATAATTATCAGAATGCACCTAAATGTTAGGCAGCATACAGTAAGAGGAATGCGGTATATAAGACAGACAGACAGACAGACAGACAGATAGATAGAGAGATACAATATAATATAAGATAAATCCAGTGGCACCCTGACCCAATGACAAATATCTTGTCCATTTTAAATATTAAAGTTTCAGAGTAGGCTTCCTGTGTGTGTGTGTGTGTGTGTGTGTGTGTGACAGAGAGAGAGAGAGAGAGAGAGAGAGAGAGAGAGAGAGAGAGAGAGAGAGAGCTTCAGTCTCTATGTGTTCTCTATTTTCTCAGGTTGTTACTAACAGGTCATCTTTCAGATTAATTAAAGTGCTTCCTGTCACACACACACACACACACACACACACACACACACACACACACACGCACACACACACACACACACACACACACACTCACTCACAATCCAGAAAGGCATTTCAGTGTCCTTTGATTCTGGCAGCTGTTTTGATCACATTGCGGCAAAAATAGAAACATGTGGGGAAATTGCGGCACACCAAAAATAAGTACATATTTTTCTGTTCACCTAAAGAGCTGAAATCAACACAGACACTGGCAGTGAACATGTGCTGTCCGTGGTGCTGGAGAGCCACTATCGATCATTCACTCCGTGTTTTTCGTTATATGTACGGTATAGGATAGGTGTGTTTGTGTGTGTGGATGTGTAGGGGACGGTTGGGGGGGCTCCCTACCGCAGGGAGCGCGGTTGAATCACCGAGCGCGCCTCCGTCGGATCTCCTTTTCCTGCCGTCACACCCACTGCTCGGTGCTGTGGGTTCACCCCGTAGAGAAGGGGAGGACTGACGGCACACTCAGCAGCACAGAGTGCTGCAGTGCGAGCGCAGCGGGGGACTCGGAAGCGGAGAGAGAAAAAAAACAAAAAACACACGCGCTAACACGCACGCACGCATCAGCAGCATTATTGCCGAAACTTGGTCTATGGAGAGATCTGCAGCGACGCCGTAGCGACGCAGGCCGACATGGAAGAGTATCTGCGGTGGGTCCAGAGCAGACTCGGGGTGAGTTGAGAGCCTTCAGTGCCGTTAACACCAGGTTGTGGGTGTAATGAATAAGACCATGACGGGGAGGCTAACACTGCTGTGCTACAGGCTGCGTTCCTGTTGCTGAAAAAGCGCACGGCAAAAGCCTCTCACGTCCCTTCGGTCCCCCAAGCACCTGTAGATCGACAATATGACAGTACAGGCGAGAGGAAGGCGTGTTTGGCCCCATACAATAAGCTCGTTGTGTTTACAGGAACAGCAGTGTGTGAATTTGAATGAGGGGGAGGCATGACATCAACAAGTTTAGCCAGAGGCTGCCCTTCCTTCCCTGCTATCTGGTTGCTCTGCAGATACTGACTCATGATTTGCATTTGATCCAGGACTGAACATAGTTCACACATAAAAAAAGCCTCATGCAAATACTAAACAACGTCATTTATATAGACTAAATGACTGTGGAGCCTTCGGGGCATACATATTAGCATATTGTGATAGATTGTAGATATGGGGTTTTGGTCTTTTTACATTTTCTACACAGTCTTGGCTAGTGTACATTTAGACTGTCAGGGGAGCCCATCAGGGATCCTTTCATGGATGATGTACATGCCTTGAGGCCATACTGCTGTGAAAGTGTTGTCTCTATATGCTTGTTCAAAAGACATGGCCATACTATCAGTTGCCGTGCATGTCTATGGTGGTATCTTTCAAAGGTCTTGAGCTGTGAATATATTTATTCTGAACTACTCCAAAGAGTATCTGTGAAGACTCAGTGCCCAGTTGATATTGGCACTGCTGCACTTTAGGCATTTATATTATATTGGCTGAGTTAAATACCTTGCGTTTTACAATTAATGTCCAGGCACCAGCATTCCTGACAGCCTCTTAAGAGGACACACACTATTGTATAGTGACTTATTAATAGTAATAATTTTGCTGTTTTGGTTTTTCAGTCAATTTGGTGTTGTTTTTCATGTATTACGAAGGGGATAGGAAAGCTCAAACACATACACACACCAATGTTTTGATGCTTTTAATGGTTTTATGTGAAGCACTTTGAATTGCCTTTGAAATGTGCTAAACAAATAAACTTGCCTTGCCTTACATACACCCACAATTAGATGTGGCAAATATTAATTCACGTGATTTACTGATGATTTTATAAGATTGCTCCTTTTTTTTCAAAGGTAAAATTCCAACCTACTGCACATGAAAACAATCTCAACTTTAAGGTGCTCAATATGAAATTCAGAGCATATCTAGTTCCCTCCGCATTGGCTCTCAACATGGCGACGGCTGAGGCGGTGGCTAGAAGCTAACAGTGCTAATAGCACAAACAGTGCAGACAGAGCTAACAGTGTTTACCTGAGGGGGAACAAGAGGCCGGGTGCTAAGCTTCCTCGGCGACGGCTTGGGTTGGGATGTCGTTATCAGCTGTAACTGTCGTATGAGCGCAGTGCGGAGCGACAGCCACATGCACTAAAAAGGTCCGGCTATGTCAACAAAGCATGAAGACGCTCGGATTACAACACACACAGAGGGAGAGTAACTTCACTCTCTATATCTCTACATAGATAACAGTTATTTGCTGCTACATCATGCTTTGAATATCATTTAGAGAACATTTACGGTCCATGTAGCAGCTGTTCTGGAGCTTTTGATCATAGCATTCATTCTTGACATTTCAAACAACAGTTGACAAAACAGTCTAGGAGGTTTCGATCATATCACACGATTTTCATCAGCAGATAACGATTGTGTATGTGCAATCGCTCACAGGGCGTTACATATATTGCCTACGCATGTTAAAGTCCAAACTATACACTTCCTGGCCATTGGTGATGACATATCGGTGATGGTGTTCATGTGTTCAAAAGCTGATTTAGCAATAAATTATATAAAACATCCTTATTAATTCTATAATAGCATATAATGAACATGAAAAATATGTTATTTAGTTAAAGGGATACGGGAGAAAATATGTTTATGTACACCAATATGCTGTTACCACATTTCATACGCGGTTGAAATAATAACGATAATTAATTCATTAATAATGAATTCTTTAAATTAATTATATTTTCAGCCATGCTACAGTATTGACAGTACGCATTTTATTCATCTAAACAGGTGTCTGTCGGCACAATACAAACGTGCATATGAACAGCCTGTCTGAAATTAAATTCAAAGAGGATAAGAGCTTTTACCTGGGATGTACTTTACACAAACTTAGGGGAAAGCTAAAGAGAAGATCAAAGAAGCAAATCTGCAGATCAGAGCACAGCAGGGCAATTGAGTGATAAGGAGGGCAACTGATGAGTGTCATGGAGGTTGCAGATAAAGTGTAACACATGCCATGATTATCAAACATTCCTCTCTCGCGCGCACACACACACACACACACACACACTCGTGCACACAGACACACTTTGTCTTTCAGCTCTCCAATATACACTTTGATAATTCTCTATTTTGCTGACCACTGTCTGTCATCCTCCCTCTCTCTCTACTCTCTGTGTGGCCACCGTCCAGAAAATCCATACCTCTAATTGGCTTGGCTCTTAATGCTACTTAATGCTATCTTTCTTTCTCACTCAGTTTTTCTCCGTATTGCTCCGCAGCTCTCCCTCCTTCACCCTCCCATCATTTGGCATTGGCATGTGCTGAGTGGACTTCCACCATCTGCCCTTCTCAGTCTGCACATTAATACACCCACTCACACACGCACACACACACCTGAAAATATATTTTCGGACCACTTTGATTATGGCTTATCTTTCATTTTATTACCAAAATTATATCATTTCAGAAGTGTTAAAAAGAATAGGTAATTTTCAAACCCTGTTTATCACAATAAATGCTTCGTAAAACAACAAATAATAGTTTTTCCTTCTTTTTTCTAATACAAATTATACTGCAAGGCACACATTAGCTGTAATGAGAAATTCACAAAGAATGTAAATGTATAGGCGTGTCACAATTTCCTGGTAGTGACGATAACCGTAATATTTTAAAATGAAATATTTACATCACGTTGATGACAGTTGGCAGTGAGAATGTGTTTCAGCAAATTCAGCGCATCCTATATCATTTTATGGTTACAGACTCTCTACACCTCCAGACTTGTATTTTGAGTGTAATTTATTTGCCAAAAAAGAAGACAAAATGCACAATGATCAAAGTTAAATATGAATTTGATGATAATTGTGTAGTGACAATCTAATATCGTGAGAGCCCTATGTGTGTACGTATATGATGTTAATAGGCTCTGTGGCTGACACAGCTAGAATAACTTGTCATTCTCAGGCCAGGTCCTTTCTGTGTGTTTCTGTATTCTGCCTGGGTTAACAGAGTTTCTGCTTCACTTCAGTTCAGATGAAAACGAAACTCCAACAGATATGATTATATGTATATGATCGATATGTCTGTGTATGATGGACTGGTGACTTGTTCTCAGTGTTTCCTTGACTTCAATCTAATGTGCTTGGTAAGGCTCCGGTTGCTCCACACCATGTAAACGCTTACTGTTTCTGAATGTATTCAAAGGTTGTATTTAAAAGCCCCACAGATTTAATGCTTGGAGCAATTACTGTAAGTGAGTAAATTGCCTCATCTTCGACTAATATTTGGCTTAAAATACAAATTGAGGCGGCAGGGCATCTATAGGAGATTCATAATATATTCCAAACCTGGCCTACCGAGAGGAGAGGAGAGGAGAGGAGAGGAGAGGAGAGGACTTGAATGTGTTGGAAAGGAGGGTAGAGCTCAGAGGGAGAGCACTCAGATTGAAGGATATCAGATGGCCGATGCGTGCTCTGCTCGTGCACACACACACAAACACACACCTATGTCCTCGCACTGCAGTAGAACAGACACTGAGTGGCCTTTTCTCCTGCTAATGCATGGCTTCCTTTCTCTGGCTATCTAGTATTGATTTATTCTCCTTCTCTCTCTCTCATATGAAGGGAATGGCTGCAGTCCTCCCCCCTCTCCTTTTCTCTCCCTCTCACACCCCTTCTCCTCTTTCCTCTTCACAGTATTTTCTCTCTCCCTTTCCACTTCTTTGCCCCTCATCTTCACCGACTGTTATCTAATTTCTTCCTCCTTTTTTCTTCTCCCTATCACATTTTTCACCTGTCGATCCACCATTTCTTCCTATTTCCTTGTTACCCCACCACCTTTACATGTCTGACTTATCGGTATGCTGCACATAGTCCCTATATGTCAGCCGCCTTTTTCAAGTGCTGTCTAAAACCAATTAGACGGAAGTGGTAATGGGTTATAAAACCCTTTTACAACGAGTCTGTAGAAATGGACCACCGGGACAAATATTTAGTCCTAAACTGCTCAAACTGAGATAGACATTGAGATAGATTATTCTTGCATTTTTACTCATTTGATCATAGATGTCATTTTCAGCATTATTATATGTTATACATTGTAGTATATAATTAATATATTTCTTATATATCTTTTTCATATGCGTGTCGTTATGTTGTAGTATAATGCGCATATGTTTACATACTTATTTATGTTTTCTTATCATTTCTCTATGTTATATCTTTGGGAGCAGTAACCCAATTTACCTCCGAGGATCAATAAAGCATTTTGATTCTGATATTTATTTTAAGTGTCCTTTCCAGAGAGAGGGGTGTTCATCCCGAAGCTTGCCACTGTATTTATATCTTACACCTTAAAGAAGAGCGCTTCATTGAGCTGTAAGTGCGACTACGAACAGAGTTCACTCTGTCACGGATTGGGACGGTGTAGGGGCCAGATAGGAATTGGACCGGAGTCTAATCAGCAGTCTCTGACCTATCTAACTTCCCTTCCCTCTCTGTGCTTTAGTCTCTCATTTCTTCTCCCCTCATTTAATTTATCCATCTGGCCCTATGGATCTGGTGAGTCCTAATAAACGGAAACAAGACACCAACTCCATTCCGTATGCATTATTAGCTGTGCTTTATGTTCTGTCTCCAGCATTAAGCTCCCTTTTAAATCATCTCCATTATATATTTGCCATGTCAACAAAGCAAGAGCTAGGAAAGCAGGATTACTAAATGAAATACAAGTTGCAGTCAATGCGGCTCAAAAGACCAATGCTATGAATATTTTACACATTTACATTACAGTTGACCATTTTCCAAAGCACACCATGCATTTTGTAGACTGGCAGCCATTCACTTTCATTAATAATGTAAATATTGTTTAGTCGTCTTTGTTTTTAGATCCAAAGCATCTCAAGGAATTGGCTTGTAACTAACTCACAATGCATTGTCGTTCGATAACCTCTAGCCAGCTGCAGATTTTCCACAAGGGAAAGTTGTTTAGTCACCGGCAAACCAAGTGTGCAACTTGTATAGTTCAGGGAAGTGATAGCAGCATACTGGACCATTCCTAAATAACTTTGCTGAATCATGTTAAGAGGGTATATCAAACTGTGTATAGAGATGCCACTTAAAGATACCCACTCGGACAGTCCTGATGGACTTCTATCTAAGTTATTTTGTCAAGGCCACTAAGCCAGTGTATCTGTCAGCCAAGGTTGGAAGATGCTCAGAGGATACACAACTGAACTTGTGAACATAAGGTTGCCAGTTTGCGCAAAAATCGAGTCAGGAAACACGAATAATCAAGGCTTCCTGGCGGTCTTTGTTTTTGTAAAATTGCCCCTCCACTGCTCCAACCCCCTCTCCCATCAGAGCATACAAGCCTATTAAGATGAGTTCCAGATAGACAGGATTTTCATTGTATCCACATTTTGCTTCTTGATTAATGGTGCAGGCTGCAGGGCAGGCTTGTACTAGTGGTGAGTCAGCTTATCTGTTTAAGATAAAACATTACAGATTGTCACAGAACACCCAGTGCAAGTGCATAATGGGGATGGCTCAGTGTGATTTCGATCCCAATTACCAGAAATGATTGCACTGTTTTCTTTCACTTTCAGTAGGTGTAATGAATGAGGATGCATGTCTTTAAGAGGAAGCCTTATAGTTTATATTAGGGTGTTTGGATTTATTTCTCTCACAAAGCAAAATGTTGAATGTCCAGAGACCTGATTTTTGGATGTGTGCCCCCATGTAAGTAACTCTGTAAATACTTGTATTTAAATACCAATGCAGGAATGCCATCTTAAAATGTAATACCAAGAGTCCCAGTCAATAAATGAGGGGAGAAACTTAATTTTATGCCTTTTCACCCGGAGATGAATGCTTAATCTCTGTAATGGATCTGTCATTAATGTCCACTTAACCTAAATGAGGAGTGTTTGCCTGCATTGTTTAATGAAATTAATGGAAGTCATCACTTCTCTGATACAGTGTGTTACTGTGAGTTAGCAGTGAAAATGTTTCTCTTGCTAATTTAGACCGTTGCCTCGCTGTTAAAACTGATTTTGCCTCTAGTCTAGTGCACATTAAGTATTATCCTCTTTCAAGCATGAGCTAAACCTTACAGCACCATTTCATTACTAATGCATATTGTTGGTTTGAAAGTGCTGCAGTCATCTAACACAGTCATGCTGGCTCAAGGAGTTTCAAGTGATACCGTTACATCAGCTATCAAATCAAATAATGATGTACAATGCTGTTTTCCTGCTTCCTTTGTTAGATGTTGTAAAACAAATAGATGAAGTATCACTGAACGATGTTGTGTCAGGCATATTTAGTAATGAAGAAGCCCACAAAACCTTTGTATGTTTGTGTGTGTGTGTGGGTGTGTTTACAGGCAGAAGCATTAGAGGATCCCATCCACGCTGTTTTAGGCGGACCGGAGCCAGATGTTGACACTGTGGCCGCAACACTGTGCATAGCACTACACCTCAGCCAGGTAATATGAATTCTGTCTGTTTGTGTGGATGTCTTTTATTCTTAAAAACATGTGAAAACCAAACATTTTCCTGATGGGTTAAGTTAAAATATTCAAGTTTAAAGGCCACATAGGCACCTGAAAGTTGAGCCAACTCTACTTATCCATTCTTATCCCAAGTTTTATCCACTCTCCTTTTGTTTCACTGTAAACATAAAGATATTTTCACAACAGTGGTCACACATATTTTAAGTATTCTCAGGATTCCTAAAGGTATACTATGCAGCGTTCTGCTGAAAAACAAGCTTTAGACTCATACAAAAGTAATTCCTCTCAATTAGGTTTGAGTGATATGACAAATTTATCGTTCAACACAATATTGGTTGGCCACAATAACAGAACGATATTCAATTATGCAATGCCTGTTATGAATTTTGCTTTTCTCCCCTTCTCCTTTTCTCTGGCTTTCTCTATGCTGTAGTGTTAGCGTATCAAAAGAAGTAACAATATGTTAGTATGAGTCTGTTTTTGTGTTATTGTGGTAATATAAAGGTAATTTATGGTGCAGTTAGATTGCTGCTAGGCTGCCCCATTACTACAGATGAGCGCGAGAGAGTAAACAGTTTATGACAGCAGTGAAGGCTAAATGCCAACAAACTGAAGCAGAATATTTTGTAAGATAAATACATGTTTGAAATGTAAACATCTATCTATTGTTAATAATTCTGACTTTTGGAGTAAAGACTGACATAATTACAGACATTGCTCGCATTGTGTGTGAGAGAGAGAGAAGGTGGGGAGAAATTGGAAGACAGTGGACTTTTGTATGCAATTGTTTTGTACATTTTTAATAATAATCATTGTACTGTCAACGTTATGAATAAAGCTTAGAACTATTTGGTACCAGCAGAAATGATTTGAGAACTAATGCTGGACATATGTCGGGGACACTCCCGACACAGAACAATGCTGCCAACACTAGAGTGTAGAGTGTGTGCGGACAACAGCTGGAGGGTCTCCTCCTGCCTGCCTATAGGCTTGTCTTTTTGGTCTAAGGTTAGCCCCGCTACGGTTACCAGGGAGCAGCAAGCAACTGAGGTGCACAGACCGGGCGGTTAGTTCAAATACTGACTTAGCTTTTTTATCGAGAGCCAAACACAAGCAGAGCAAAGAGGCCACGGTGGAGTTTGAAAGTTGTGTTCAGAACCAGTAAGCGAGAATTGCTGCATAGTATACCTTTACTCATGAAGATATGATCATCAAAGCATGATTTAATTCATATTGTAAAATGATGTTTGGTGCAGCGTTGCAACAATCTCATAAAATACTGCATTTCTATTTTCAATTTTTATTTAATCAAATAAAACGTGGGCCTATTGATTTAAAGTCTGTTTTTAGTTCAGTTTTAAACGTGTGGTTTGATTTATTGTGTGCTCCAGAAGGAAACGTCCGGTGGTGTGTGCGTGCCTGTGCTGAGCCGCCGGCAATGTGACGCTGTGTTGCCCGGGGAGACGATGAGGTATCTGCAGAGGGTGAAAATCTGTGAGAGCTCGCTGCTGTGGAGAGAGGATGTGGACCTCGTGAAGCTTCATCACACCGGAAAATTCTCACTCACACTACTGAGAGATGGACTGCTAGATAGGTAAACATTCACATATGCACTCACATCATGTCAAGGTACAAAACCAGGTCAGTGTGTAGATAACTTCAGCTCATCTTAACTGTTTTATGGATAGACGGCAGTAAAGAAATTAAAATCTTGAACCTGAAAGAGGGTTCAGTGAATTTAGAAAGTTTTATGTTTCAATGAGCCAACACTGATTAATGTGTGTACACACTGAAGCACACACGAAGACCACTAATATATCCAGACACAGTGGGCTTCTCGCTCAGAAGTTTGTATTTATGGAGGCAAAAAGGAGATTGAGACTATGTTTGGGTTTGTATTTCATCACTCATGGCCCATTGGGAGTTGTATTTATGCAAATGCATCACAATCGTCGCTCCTTCCCCTGCAGCCATCTATATCTCCTTCACCACCATCTTCTCACTCTCCTAGCTCTGAGTACCACACCTTGGAGTCCAGCATCCTGCGAGTGGTCCATCAAGACATGCAGCAGGACGCAGGGGATGATGGGGCATCGTCTGCGGTGACAACAGTCACCGGGGAGATTCTTCAAGAGGCAGCGGAGCACATCGGAGCAGCGCTGGGGGAGACTCTTGGAGGTGAGGGAGGCGCAGGTGCCCCCCCAGGGGGAGTAATGGGGCGATGAAGGAGGACACACACAAATCCCCTGACATGACTCGCTTAACACCCACCGGGAGAGATGGAGAAAGAGAGAGATGAGGGGTGGTGAGTGCGAGTAAGGACGAGTGCTGAAAGACACACAGAGTCCCGTGGTATGACTCTTCTTTATGTAAGTTAGTTTAGTCTGTTATGTTGCTTTTGTTTTATCAGGTAGTCATATTTTTTCCACTAAATTAAGAAAAGTTGTTACAAGAAATCAAAGAGATGTCAGTAAATGTTTTACATGAATAGAAGGCAAGCCGATAACAGAGAAAACAGTAAAAGGTAGAGAGTGGCAGAGAACAAAACTCTGTGTGTGCGTGTGTGTGCGTGTGTGTGTGCGTGTTGTTAAGTCAGCTACAAACAGGCACTCAAGTTGTCACTCAAGATGTTAAGCAGCTGTGTAAAGGTTGGGCAGGAGACATGCCAGATCTCTGTTCAATAACGCTCTGCTGCTTTTCTTCTTTGCTGTCTCTCACAGTGATTTACAGAAAGACGGACAGACAGAGAATAGTCCTAGATGGATGGAGTGAGAAATTATTAGAGCAGGAGAGTGACGTATAGTCCAGTTCTCGTATTTCTTTGTGAGAGCTCTTCAGACAGTCCATTATTAGGTTCATTGATTCCTAAAGAGGCCAGTAGCTTAGCTCAAACCCTGATCCTCATAAATTCTGTCTGATGAGAAATGTTACCAAAGGATAAGTGCAATTGTTTTATTGCAATGTGCTATGTATAGTTGTACTGTACATTTTGACTATGATGAGACCAATGGGGAACATTTGGATGAATAGCACACAATTTTAAATATTTGAACAAGTAGCTCACATGATCTAACTAACTAAATAAAGCAGAGGCTCAAGAAAAATATCTGGCTAACGACCAAACTGTGCTGTGCTGATTACTTGCATTACAATGGAAGTTAAGACATGTAGATTAGGTTCTAATCAAATATGGATCATAATTGGTCATGTTGTTATTGAACCGAGACTGAACGTATATGAACTAGAGCCAGAGTGTGTATCCTGGACACACCCATATGTATTTGTGTGCTTGTGTGTCTACAGAGGCCTTGCGGCTGCAAAGTGAAGCTTTGTGGGTCAAACATGGCCGACAGTCAGCACAACTGGAGGAGCTCATGAGATCCTTGGAGCAATGCAGTGATGTCACTGCTGGTCAACGTGATGCGACGAGGCGACAAGGTAAAACAGGCAGAGTAGTTGGGCAGCTTATTCACCTTAATTGAACACCGAAGAGTTTGTACAAAGAAGACAGAGAGATGGGGTGACATGCAATCAGAATCAGAATCAGAATCAGAACCGTTTATTTGCCACGGTATGTTGCACATACAAGGAATTTGACATGGCGGGTGGTGCATAACATTAAACAATCAACAACAATCAACACAGTGCAAAAAGTAATTCAAATTTACAATAAAATATAAAATACAGTGCACAAAGAAACAGATAACAGTACTATAAACAAGTAAAATGTAAGTGTAATGTAAAGTGTGAGGTGTATTTAAATAAAGAAACTTAGAAGGGATGTGCAGGGGAGTGTACCGGAAGGAAATTGTCCTGGGGATGACAGAGTCAACCCTTCTCTCTGGGATTATATGGAATGTGTCCTGACCTGATATAGACCATTGTGTTCCTTCATGCAACTTGATAACGAAGATAAAGATACAGTTCTCTATCATCCTCATTATACTCTCATTTTATAACAGATTACAGCAACAGGAGAAGAATCAACTATGAAACACCTTTTTATGGCAGATGTTTTGAGTTGTCATAGAGTTGTAAATAATTAAAATAATGGTGCCCCATTGTGTTTAAGCTATTTGTAAGCCGTTGTAAACCCAAGTTTAACTACAAGCTACTTTCAAACTAGTAAGTTTCTAAATTGGGTTGCACCATTAAAACTTGAGAAAATTCTAAGTTGGTATACTTTGATGATGTGAAAACTAGTTGCCAGGAAACAACTGTAGATCAACTATGTTTTTTTGGCATTGCTCTGTGGCTGTGCAGTACGCAGCTCTCTCCGTGCTCTACTGCTCACACAAGTCAGGTCACATGATTGTTAAACGTTCTGTATAATTCCTGTATCACAACATCCTTTCAATTACCTCTCAGGTCTGGAAAGTGTATTCATGCTTGTGTGTTTTTTTTCTGTCTGTTGTGAAATTGTTTTGTATTATTTTGTGTGTGTTTTATATAACTGTTAGTCTGTTTGTGTGTGCTGACTGGATGTAGACTTGGAGCAGCTGCTGACTCTGGAGCTGAAGGAGTTTTCTGGTGGAGAGATGACAGTAGCACTCACTTCAGTCACCACATATAAGGAGGTAAGTTTTTAGCATTAAAAAAAAACTTCAAATGGCAAACTCCATTTATTTTCTGTTCAGTAAATTAAAACATAAATATAAATCAACTTATCAATGACATTCAGGGATTTTTTTATTTCTTTTGAAATGTGACAAGATCTGAATTTGGAGGATAGTTAAATACCTTCTTCAATTATGGGTGTGTTTAACCCTGCGAAGCAAGGCAGAAAACCCAATAATGATTTATTACCTGAAGCTCAGTCGACGAATCATGTTAACTGGGAAAGTTCCAGATTCAATAGCCAATTTCTATGTCAATAACATTTGTAACTAATTTACAACTCTATTAAATACATTTTAAATGTGTCCATTCCATGCAACGATGAAATGGAAGCTCTTCAAAGTACGTATTTCATGAGATATTTCTGACATGACAACAATTAAAACTATGTAAATGTGCATTCTTAAAGCTTGGGTGCTGACAGAGAAATATTGACCAATTAATACACTTATTACTTACTATAATAATATAATTATATTCAGAATCAATACCGTCCAGTTCCCTTTGTTAGATGTTTTCGAAGAAGCTCATGATAACTTGCATAGTGTTTCAAAAGAGAGAGGGAGGTAAACATGTCGACATTTTTGACAAAAATGTATAAATGAATAAAACATTTTTTTTTTTTTTCAAAAAGTTACTTTTGAGGGCTTTGTTGTTTTGGATATATCACATCGGTACTGTGTCCTTTTGGGGAAGTGTTGATATGCAAGTAGAGGAGCCCCTCTGATGTTGTGATGTTCTGCATTTGGATGAGATGCAGATGGAGGCATGAGAGCCTCACACACACCCAGGTATCACCTGCCGCCCACTGATATCCTGAAATCCAACACACACACACACACTGAAACATACACTATTGCGGAATGTTTGTGTTGACTTTTCTATCTTTCTATCTGTGGCGCTCTCTCGATCTTCCTTTTCACACACACACACACACACACACACACACAGAAGGTGCTTTAAGCCTTAAAGCTTACCCCCTTGCTTTTCCCCCTGCTGCAACTTCTAATGCATTCACCCCCCTCCCATCACCACCACTACCCCGCCTCCAAAAAGAATCATTCATTATTTCTTTTATATCTCCTTTTCACTTCCAAAGCCCATTTTTCTCAGCGGCTGCCTAGCGTGCGGTATTAGGCTATGTGTAAAATAAATGATGTCTGTAGCCGTAGGGGTATGGCTCTGCCTCCCCCAGAAAACTACCTAACGTCCAAGGAACATTAAACACCCAGATCCTCGTTTAGCGAATAAATAACCATTCATTTGAATGGCTTTGTCTGTGTGTGCGCACCGGACTTTCTGTGCATATTTTACCATCGCTGTGCCTACATGCTGTGTGTCAGGAGTGAGAGAAAGAGAGAGAGAGAGAGAAAGAGAGAGGGAGAGAGAGAGAGAGAGAAAGAGAGAGAGAGAGAGGGAGGGAGAGGGAGGGAGAGAGAGGGAGAGAGAGGGAGAGAGAGAGAGAGAGAGAGAGAGAGAGGGCCCATTAGAGACTTAATATAGAATAAATGGCCAGGGGCCTGTGTGTCGCCAGCGGACCCTCCAACTCCACAGCGTCATGGTGGGTTACTAATGACCTGAGATCGAGCTCCAAAATGAACTCCTTATATGCATGTCATTTGCAGTGTGTATATATTTATATATTATTTTTTAATTGTGTTTGAAAAGAGAGTAAAACGGTATGAGAGTGTCATTTATTGGAGGGGCTTAGGGAAGTTCTGCCTTAAATGATTCTTTCCAAGAAAACTAAATAAATTAGATTCAATTAGTCTTTAATGGTTTATGTGTTATGTGTTTTTCAAAGTGTGTTTTTTGTCAGTGTGTGTGTTTGATATCAGTTAAAGAGGACAGAGTTAGAGTTTGAGGTAAAAAAAAAAATCTGGCTATGATTGCCTAGTTAGCAGAAGAAAAAGCTTCAGAGTGTGTTTGGTGTAACGATATGGACACATCATATAGACTGACTAATGTATTCTTTTTATACTGTACAAACATACATTAGTCAGTCTCTGTGCTGCTTTATTACGGAAGAGAAAAGTGGAAATGAATGGAGTTTCATTCCTTCAAAATCACAGCGCCTGTCGGGATGTGTCTGTGTGTCATTTGTATCTGCTCATCAATGTGTGCTGCATTTGAAACAGTAAAGACAAATATCTTTACCAGTTCCGTGTTCGGCTACAATGGCACAAAATACCGCAGCATGTGAAAAGTTTCCCGCAGCAATGCTACACATGAGCAATAGTTGTATGAATTTGTTTGTTAGGCTATGATGCTTGTTTATAATTCAGCATATTGAAGGTGCCACATTGCATATAATTGGTACAGTGTAGATAAAGCTGTGAAAGCAATAAGTTACATATTTGCAATGCAACCTTGTCAGTTTAGTTTTATTGCATATTGTAAATATTGTTGCATTCAGTATGCCAGTCTGTAAGAATGAAACTTTGCTTGTTTGCTGTTTAAACTGCACGTATACCTTAGGTTTGTGATATTGTTCTGTTGTTTACATAATTCCTCATGCTACAACTGCAACTATACTGAGCATGTTGCCTTATTGTTGCAGTCCGTGCATAAAACACAACTGGCATTTTATTGTTGTGTGGACATGTGCCCATTGAAGCTTGTGTAGTGTATATAAATTCAAACTCTAGGGAAGAAGAAAGTTAAATTCATCCTGATTTTAAATCAACATCTAATACGTTAGATATTTGCATGGATTTCTTTGGGCAAGGATTTTAAAGTTTAGAGTTTAAAGATTTTCTACAAAACTAAAACACAAAAAAATAAAAGTCAGAAAAAATGTCTCTATTTTAAATTAGCCTTAATGCTATTTTTTTGTTATTATTTATTGTTTACATGTATTTTTGTCTGGCAGTTTTTTATGTTATGGCAGACACATCTTATGATACATCTTATGTATCATAACATTTTCTATATTTGCTGTCGTTTCTCGGTATGTCACTGCAGAGAAGACAAAATATTCAGCCCACAAGTGTGGTATTTACTTTCATGTGGTCAAGCCGACTTGAAGTTTTTTTTTTATTCTTTTAATCATCACCAATTTGTACAGAGCGCAGAGCTACAGGCTGGTAGCAGGACTGTGTAAGACCACAGAAGAGACACCACAGGAGCCAATAGGCATCAAGATCCTTGCTAAAGGGCACACAGTCATTGTGCAGCATCACCTGTAGATGTGACATACATGACAGCTAGTACCTAAATTGGTCCAAGGTAACTGAGAAATTGGAAGCTTTACTTGCTTGTATGAAATGTTTTGTGTAACACTTACATGAAGCTCAAATTAATAAACACATTATTCACATATTCATGCCAGTCAGTGTGTGTTTGTGTATGTTTTCATGGCTCAGTAATTAGCACTGGGAGATGAAACATTGGTCGGATAAAGAGTTGTCGTGCTGTGGAGTTGATGAACTGTGAGAAGGACAGGAGCCCACAGCCAAACACACACACACACACACACACACTCACGGTCATGATTATGTGAATAATGTGCTTTTAGCATGTGTTAACATGGACATCTAAGTATTACAATATGTTTTAGAGTTTTTTGTTTCATGCCTTTTGAAAGCTATTTCCACTATTGAGCCTTTAGAGAGGGGAGTCGTGGGAGAGTAATAAAAGTTTGCATCTTGGTTTGAGCTTGAACTGTGATATGAAAATACGATCCATTGTTCCACCACGATATCTGAATAATTTTAATGTTGTTTCTTTTCTCTGTGTGGTAAACAAAATCAATCATCTTTTGTTGCGTGTGAGTGTGAGTCTGGTTATGGGATAATGCATCTGCATACAACATTATTTTGGATGTTGATGACTATTTTTCCATTTTCCTTGCTATAATGTTATAGTTCTAGATTTGTTTGTTTTATTCTTTCTGAGGTGCGCTGTCGATTTCATTTTGGCAACGTTGATCGTCTCTAATGTGTTGTTTGTTCACAGTCCTCCGGCCCTTCTGTTTGTTTATGCGGGGCCAGTTTTGCCCTACGCCACTTGCACAAATAATTATGCTTGCTAATGAAGGGGCCCGCAGCCACGGCACTCGGTAAATGCCTTTCTGATGAGAGGCACTGAGACAGCAGGTGCAGGGTGGGCCTCCCAGGGACTAAGATTGAAGACCAGGAAGTCAGGGTGCCCCGCCCCTCCATCACTCTGTCTTTCTATTCCTCTATGACTTCCTGGTTCTTTCTTTCTTGCTCCGCAGTGATTTTCTTGGTGAGAATATCCATTAAGTACATAATGCTGAAGCCACTTCAGAGTCTTCCGATTCTAAAGCTACTTGCATAAACATCCTAATAATAGTAGCCTAAGATTTGCTTATTCCAATCAAGACATTAAAGCGCAAATGCACATTTCCTAAGTTTGTTTAGAGTCTTTGCACTGAAGCGCTTTATAAGGGAATACATTCAGAGTAATGTACACAAAGAAAACATCATTTCCATCTGCCGTGTGAAAATATTTTGCTGTAAATTTGTTTGGCTGTAACACACAATATAATAGGTATTGTTACATATAGTCTACTTATTTTCCGAAGTTTGGAAAGCCGCCACACAAGACAGTCATCGTCTCTTCTGAAACTCTCATTCTTTTTCTTCCATCTTTTTCATTCTCCCACCCGTGGCTTCCTTGGGCTTTGAGGGCAAACAAATAAACAAAACAAAACATTTATAGACTCAGTGCTCGCATCTTGGCCCCCAAATCCCTGCACTTAGAGCTGAGCGAATGAAGCATGCGGAGAAGGCCCATATGAGAAAGACAGACAGAAAGACATTTCTTTCTCTGCAAACTTTTACCCCCTCCCCTTTTCCCTCTGTCTCTCCAAAAACTTCATAAGCAGTAATACTCTTCTGTGTGCGCACGAGTGTGAGTGTGAGTGTGAGCGAGAGCGCGTGACTGTTGGTTTGTGAGCACATGCATGTGTGAGTTTGGCTGTGCATGTGTGTGTGGCAAGTGGTATATGTTGCACTTGTGTGCGTGCGTGCATTTGCATGTGTGTATTTGAGCAGGGTGGTGTCAGCTCGCTCCTTGCCACCCCATTTGCTGTAGCTGTACCGCTGTGATCACAGACAGATGTATAAATCAAACCTTGGTTGATGGATTCATCAGGGTGGCGAAACGATCGCCTGAGAAGAACTCGCAACTCTCTTAGCGTTCTGTGTTCTGACGGAAAGGGTATGCAAAGAGCCTAAATGGATGAACGCTTGATTAATTCTTTGCCGAAGATGTTGGCGACAGCAGGAAATGTGTTTTTGCTTTGACTGTGTTTGCACGGGAATTTACGCACGCGGGGCGTGAGTTATGAGGCCTGAGTTTTGTACCTAAGGCTATTGTGCATAATGATGGCAGGTTGGGAGAACTGCAAGCAGCCGCTAAAGACTTGCTACCTGTGGAGCAAAGACAACCAGAGAGAGAGAGAGAGACAGAGAGAGAGAGAGAAGGAGGAAGTGAGCGTGTGTGTGTGTGTGTGTGTGTGTGTGTGTCTGTCTGTGCGGATTGGGGCCTCGTGTGAAAGAAAGATGAAGCTGCAAAGTGTGTGAGTGCAAGAGATGAAGAGGCAAAGTGTGAAAGGGTTGAACCGGTATACCGCCCAGCATGTGTAAGAAAACATCATTGACTTAAATATTGCTTTCCTAACTTTGTAAAACATAATGTAACAAATAAATTAATATATATAATTAAATTATATAATGTGTAATGATGTTATTTGTTATTAAAATAATGTGTTGTACACTAGCAACTTGGTAAAATATACTTCAAGATAAACAGGAATTACAATTTAAGTGTAATGCAGCAACAAATTGTTAAAATCTTAACCCTGAATTAAAATTCCAGTATATAATGTGTATAAACCATAGAATAAAATAGATAGCAAGGAGCTATTTGAGTCATCACGCTATCGGCGCATCCCTAGTAAATACCTGGACCTCAAAGATCTCGGTCAGCAACTGTGATTCCACAAAGTCAAATGTAGGATTTTTCTGTCATTGAAAGTTAAAAGCTATTGTCATAACTACAGCTCAGAATGAACAAGGTTCCTTAAACGAAACCCCCCCAAAAAACAAAGCCAGGTCAGATAGCTTATGGTGACAGTATCACCATCACAAGCAGTATAGAGACTATTTTTACTTCCATCGTGGGTGTAAAAATGGATTTTAAACCTTAATATGCTGCTAAAGGTTTTCAGTGTTTCAAGTGTTATTTCCTCCCTACTTGTGTTACCATCTTTGTGCTGTGTTGCACCTTTTCTTTTGTGTTATCATTTTAATATTCAATTTTGTTTTGTTGCTTTTTCCCTTTACTGTCATTTATGTTGAAAATTATGAACACTTCTATAACGTCTTCTATAAATTGCTTTTGTTCCAAAGTGTATCTTTTTGAATGCAAACATCAAATTACAGCTGTAGCTCATCTGTAGCTATCATAATGACAAAACTGCCTGTTGTTAACAGCGTGCTGTTCTCTGATGTAGTTTAAAAGCATTAAATTGTAAATATTTTAAATATTTGCAGTAGCAGAACTGTTGCCAGTGAGTCTCTGCTCTTACAATAAATACAAATGAAAGTCAATAAAAAGTAAATACAGTGAAGAGTTTTACAGGAACCTATGTTTGTGATATCTCGGCTCAACAAATGAGAAACAGGTTTCTTTGTCCGGATCCTAAGGTTCTTGGAGACAGTTAGCAAGTGGATTTTTATCGCTAACATGTTGGTAATTTATAAGAAAAGGCAATCTGTGTATCTGGGGGTGGCAGAAAGAGGGAGAAAGAGGAGGGGCAGGCAATATGAGTAGTAATTTACTCAGTCAAGAGCCAAATGGCAGACAGACTGTCGCCCTGCGTGTTATCTCGGAGATTTGCACTCTGCTCGTTTTCTGACAATATTTCCCTGCCTGTGTGATTGAGAGTGTGTGTGTGTGTGTGTGTGTGTGTGTGTGTGTGTGTGTGTGTGCAGTTGTGTGTGCACATGCACACAGTTGGGTAGTAGCTTTAGAGTATCAGCATCATTTCAGCATTTTTTTGATATTGTACTGTAAATCATGAAGACTTTATTGCTTTACCAGAGCTCGTATGTGTACATACTGGTACATGTTTGTTCATACACTGAGACGACTGCAGGCGAATTTATGCGTGTATCTGCATGTGTCAGGGTTACATGTGCATTTACGAGTGTATTTGTACTTATGTGAGTGAATATGTGTGTTTTAACGAATCTTGGGAGGCTTCATTGCACTCATCAGGATATCAGTGTTTGAAAAATTGCAGTGTCAGTGAAGTGACAGTTGTGTGTGTGTTAGGATTGATGGGCCTGAGTCTGACAGCAGCCATATTGTGAAGAGAGAGAAGGATGGCGGGATGGAGGGAGGAACAGAGGGAGGAGTATTGTAGCCCCCTCATCCTCACAGGTTAATATTGACACAGCCTGGGCAGATACAGTGCCTGCAGCGCTCATCCATCACTTCCAGTGGACCCATACAAATACATTCACACACACAATGGCTCAAGCAGAGAGAAGGACCACAAACACTGTAAGACACAGCACACAGAAAAAAATGCAAACTTTCAAAGTCAGACAGAATCAAATGCTATTTGGATAAGTCAGGCAACATGAACAAAAGCATATTTTCAAGAAAACCAGACCCACATATACAAGTCAAACTCCTCTATTAGCTTTACTAAAATGACAATATTGCTTTTGTTTGAAAGTTCTACTTAAATAAGCACAACAATTTTGACAACTTCACAAAGCAAACAGTTGCACTGCAAATCTAGATTAATCAAGTAAATATGTTTTCAAAAGTATCACTTTATGTGTAACACTAGGTTGCAAATTATGGTTGCCATAACATTGTTGTTAATCATTTCAGAAAGAAAGAAAAGCAAGTTGCCTTGACAAGCAAAACAATTAATTAATGCAACTTTTCATCCATCAATCATTGTGTGTGGCACTGAATTACCATAATCTGTGCATGGTGGCTGTTTTAAGAGCAAACAGTTAATTTCCAAACAATAAATCACAAAGTGTCTCTCTGCCCCTCTGTGCGTCTTGACAGCTTCGTCTCTCATTGCTACAGATGAAAGCTTACTTGAAACCACTTCTTCTTTTTACAAAAAAATTAAATCATATGTGCAATAAAGGCAAAGGGTCGAACAAAGTTTTCTATGCAACTGTAACCAAAATGTTTATTAATCATTTTGAGATTATTACAATAAATGTTATGATTGCTTTTTTCATAGTTTGTTAATTCATAATATAATATAATAAAGTTGCATCAGTAGTTTGCATTACACATTTCAGATCTTGATTCCTTCCCCTTTTTGTTTCTCTCTGCTTATTTGTCTTTTTTTACAACTCTCTCCCAGGACTGGCATGGTTATGTGGATGAGCTGAAATCATTCAGCCATCGCCATGGCTATGATGGTCTGGTGGTTCTGCTGTCCATCAATGACACAGTTCATCATCCCCGCCAGCAGGTGGCTGTCTACTCAAGCAACACAGATCTCCTTAACCAGGTAAATATAATGTAAGACCATAAATACAGCTATAGCATGTAGAGAGTGAAACACAAGTGCCTCTTTGATAAACACAACTCTATGAATAACTCTGGGAACTAGAAATAGCCATTGTGATGTCTCTTATTCATTTGTCAATTTTCCTGAATCCCTAGATTTTACCTTTTTAGGACAGCAAATTGACAAATCCTTCCAATTTGTCAGTCGTACTTCCCAGAAAATAAAAATAAAATAAAATAGTTTAACACTTTATTGAAATGCGCTTATTTGCTTTCTTGATGAGAGTTGCATGAGAAGATAATAATACTATATATAATTCTGATAATATAATATACTGGATAGACATTAGAGTGGTATCGAGCAGAAAGCAAATAAGCACATTTAACAAATTGTCAAACTATTGCTTTAAAAAGTAAAAATGGAAAATGGAAAATATCACAACACGGTGGCTTTCATTGCAGATCTGCTGTGAGTTGGAAGAGTCTTCCAGCTGGTCTTTTTCTGGTGAACTGGAGGCCAGGGAGAATATCCAGGTCTACCACATTCCTATAAACACCTCCTTAACGTTTGGTACTCCACCTCTCCTGATAGAAGAAATTCAGCTCCTCCTCAAGGACTTTGTTGATCGGCGGAGCTCTGTATTAACCTGCCACCCCAGCAGTAGGACCTCTTCCACAGAGGGAGTGGCAGGCAGCGTGGAGTTCTCCCAGGGATCCTCTGGTATCAATGATATGGATTGTTCCGACATAGAGAGAGCTGAGGGAGGCAGTGGAGATGCGGTGCCCATAGCAAGGTAATTAAATACATCCCTTTAATATTGTTTCAACAGTACCAGTGAAAGTCATCAAAATAGGAAAACTGAGATTTAATATTATTTAGGCCTGTTCATGGACTTTAGGCAAAAATTGATACAATACAGTGACAGTGCGGTTTTATCTCTGTATATAGGGTGATGGCAGATGGTGAAGAAGACACAGGTGGTGCCGGAGTTGGTACTTGCGGGGAGCTTGTGAGCCCTGATAGTGGTATGACCACCATCCGCAGCAGCCGCTCTTCCAAGGAGAGTTCAGTGTTTCTCAGTGATGACAGCCTAGTTGGTGAAGTTATAGCAGGAGGGCCAGCAGCAGGGCCAGTAGGACCCTTCCTGAGAAACCCCTCTCCTCTGGGATTGTCATCCCTCTCCCCTCCTGTTCCACCGGAGAGGAGGAAGAACTGCTCTGCTAGAAATAGGAGTGAAAACTATGATCTTTTTAGTTTTGACCCCCTACATAGCAGTGATCACTCTATGCCAACAAGAGGGAAATCGGACAATTCTGGAGTAGGAGGAGGTGAAGAAGAAAGAAGAGCAGGAAGCTCTAGCTTATCAGAACTTGAAGAGCTAAGCTTGCTAGATTTCTCTACTCTCAATTCACTGGGCGGGCTTGACAGCAGAAATTCTTCAATTGACAACCATGGTCAAGACCATGGGAATGACATGATTGAAACTGTGGTTCCTCCAACCCCAGTCAACAGTGTGGTAGGTAGCCGCCCACCCAGCAGTTGCGGGGTTAGGTTCTTTCCAGAAGATGTGGTTGAAAGGATCAATGGCCTGCAGCACAAGGACAGTGTGTCATCATCGTTGTCAGAGACGTGGGATGAACTTGGCTTTGACACACAAGGAGCATTGTCCTCAAGTGATAATAATGCCTGGAATAGGACCAAGGAATCTGAGAGCCCGCAGAATATTGTGGAGGAAGTTAGAGGGAAAGAGTCATTGTATGATGTGATAGAACAAGAAAGCAGGGAAGAGCTCTTAAAGTCAGAGAATGCCCACCAGAGGGGAAAGAGCCTTGAGCCCCAGCTTAGTCTGAACATTGAGCAAACAAAATCAGAAGACACCTGGAACCCAGATTCAATATGTAATGATCCATGGAACCCCGCTACTTTAACTTATCTGCAATTGACACCACCAGAGGAGGAAATAACTGGAAAATGCAAGGCTGGCATCATGGGAGTGAAAGAAAAAACAACCTCATTGTCGAGAAAGAAAGCAATCCTAAACACTTTAACGCCAGACACATCGAAAGAAGAGGATGAAGGAGTACACGGGAAAAAAGGAGACGGACAAATGGAGCTCCTAGATTTTTGGACATACTCAGCTCAGAAGGGATTTCTCAAATCGGATAGCGGAACCACCACATCTTACCCTGAATCACTAGATATGTGGAATATGACAATCCGAGATGACAGTCTATCGCCTCTCACAACCCCTGACAACTTGTCTGGAAACTCAGGTTCTTTCTGTGGAGTGAACCCCAATGTTGAGGCTGGCGCATCTGTGGAAAGTCCACAAGAATTCTGTGATGGTGGAATGGGGATGTGGAACACCACCATACAGGAAGACAGCTCTTCCACAATAACAAGCCCCGAAGGACCTGAAAATGGAAAGGACCTTAGTCAAATGGGATCATTGGATGCCAATGATTCTCCTGAGACACATGCAAGCAAACAGGTAGAGGAAGAAGAGACTATAGAGAAGGAGAGAGGTATGAATAAAGTACTTAAGCAGACACCTGAAGAAGCAGGGTGGAGAGGTTATGAACACAATGTAAAAATAGTTATAGAGGCGGCAGAGGGTAGCACACATGGCGAAGAAACGGGTGACGATAACATCCAGAGTTTTCCGAGCCAACAGTCTGTCTTGCAGAACTTGGCATCTGAACATTCAGAAGATGAGACCTCCCCCTACCAAGGCACTGAAATGTCGGACCTACCTGTCCCTGGCATGGTCGCCTCTACTTCAGAATATGATAATGTAGGAGCTAGCACTTGGAGCCTGACATCCTCCCTTGAGACCTATGCTAGCCCTGTAGCAGACATGATACAGCTAGAGGAGCAGTCTAGCCCTTTTGTTGCTGTGACAAAACCTATTCAGATAGATGAGGGTCACAATCAATACCAGAAAGCTGATCCTCTTGGAAAGACTGAATACAGAGAGGTCATTTTAGACAAAGAACAGCCAACCAACCAGGTGTTCCTATTTGAGGGAACTAATGAGGTGGGTCACATGATCAGCAGTGGGGTAAGTTCAATTGAGAGTAATTACAAAAACAAAGGTGGAGAAAGATCAGAGGAAGCTGATTGGATAGAGCAACCCAGTGATCATTCACCATTTGTTCTGGTGGACTGCTCCACTGTAATTCAGACCAGTTCAGCCAATCATCATTCAAGTCTAGGAAAAGTTGCTGAGACTCAAATTCAGGCTGACCAATCTTTATCCCCAAGCCTCGTTGAGTGGGGCGATCCTGTTCTGTCGTTCACAATGGACCAAAATGAAGATGGGCCTGCCCCTGAAAGCCAAGGTGGTCCTGACAATGAGAGAACTGGAAATGTGGTGGGTAAAACATTAGAAACCATGTCCCTCAGCTCCAGCTCCGGGGGAGATAGAGACACACTGAAGTATAGCCCCGACAGCCTTCATCCAGGTAGTCGAGACGAACTCAGATCTAATTCTGATGGAGATTCATCATCAGGCCTAGAAATGGATTACATCATTGTGTCTGGCACAGTAAAAGAAGCTGAGAGAGAGTGGCACGATAGGCCTAAACAGGCTGACAGGCAATCAAAAGGTACAAGAAAGTCCATGGGGACTTTTAGCATGCTTTCCTATGCTGCCACAGTACTGCAAAGCCAGGCCCAAGCTGAAAAAAAAGAGCGCCAGGGGAACACAGAAGAAAGTAAGCAAAACCAAATCATCAGCTGTTCTGACAGTACACTTGACAAAGTTACAGAGCAAAGTCAAGCTGTCTCATGCACTCATAACCAAGCACTTGTTGATAATGACATCAAGCATCACATTGTGCCAGAATTCATCAGTCTCAGCCAATCAAAAGATAACTCTGAATCTTTTCATCAGTCAGATTCAAGACCAATGGGTTTCAGTCAAACACAGGTAGAGGAAGGAAACTATGATGATAAGTCAAACACTGTGGCCAGAAGTGTGTCTCCATCCTTAAGATATCCGTCAGATCACTTCCTGAAAACCAGAGAGGAAGTTTATGTCCATTCACAGATCTCAATGGAAGATTCAGATGAGGGTGGGCAGTCACCATCTGCACCTCCACCATGCCCTACTTCTTTGGGCGACTTTCAAGTCTGGGGGGGTCAGTTAACAAGACAGAACGTGCCACAAACATCTGAACCACAATCACCTGTACTTACCAACAGCTCAGTCTCCCACACCAGCTCCTTTATTGGCACCCCATTAAGTGAACCGGGTATTTCTGCTGACAGAGGACTTGGATTACCATTTTCTGGAGATCTGATGGAAGAGGAGAATGATGAGGAAGAGCAGCAAGAGCGAACTTCCCGGGCAAAATGGACTTCAGAAGTACAAAGTGAGAGGGAAGAAAGGCAACAGTTAGGATCTTCTGATCTGCTAAGTTTCACTGAGGAGCTGATTGAAGATTCTTCATTTCAACAAACAGATTTACAAACACTTGAGCCAAAGAGGGATAAATACTTACAGAATACAGTGGATTACTGTTATGGACAACCTGTAAGGACTGTTAATCGTGATAAGTGGTCGACTGAACAACAGATTGGAGACCATGAATCTTCTCAAGATAGCTATTCACCTCTGTTAAGGTAAGCAATACAACTCAAATCATCAGTCTTAAGTTCTGCGTAATTCTACTTTTTGCAATTATGTAAAATGAAAAACTTTTCATAAAAGACAAATCAAAGTTATTAGACAATATACTCATCTTAAAAGGTTGGTTAACCTAAATTGAAATAAATAAAACGTATTTTTGTCATGAACATCTACTGTATATCTGGCCATGCAGATGGTTATGGTTTGATTTTCCATTGTTTTGAGGTATCTATCTCTGAGATTTCTACCTCCACACTAATACAGTGTAAGTGAATGGAATTTCATTCCGATTATTTATTTCAACCAATTAGAACTCTTTTTTTATTTTGGTCTTCCTCTTGCCTCTCAAAAATAGAGGAGGAGTAACCTCTGCCTCTATGGACCAACCTCCTCTGACATGCATACATACACATGTGCCAACCATCCTCCCCCTCACACTCCCTTAAATATCAGTTTTGGGATCTCTGCAGCTTCCCAATGGTCTGTATGTCAGAGGAATATTAGCATCGCTGAACAGACTGTCGAAATCGCACTAAGACCTCCTAAGGAATTGAGTGTGTGTGTGTGTGTGTGTGTGTGTTTGTGTGTGTGTGTGTGTGTGTGTGTGTGTGTGTGTGTGTGTGTGTGTTTTTGTGTGTGTGTGTGTGTGTTCATGTTGTTGGGTGAGTGACAGGCTGAGACTGACAAAGAGGATGTTAGGATGAATATTAATGGTGTGACAGAAAAATATTGCGTGTCCATAATTGTGTGTGTGTATGTGAGAGAAAAAACAACATTTGTACGTGGGTGTATTTCATGTGTTCGACAGCAAGCTTTGATCTGCGGCTCTGTGTGTTTAGGTTTATGAATCTGTTTACGCCTCATTAAATATGCATTACCTGCCTCATTACAGCTGGAGCCCCACCACAGCTAATGGAAACAGCTCCCCTTGCTCTCTTACAAGGTGTGGGTGTGCATGTATGCGTGCAAGCCTGTGTGTGAGTGTGTGCATAGGTGATATCCAATGTATCACACAATAAAAGTTTTCCATGTAGCTTCAACTTTACATTAGCAACAAGTACATAATTATATATTTAACACATATCTAAGTCTCTGTTGTTTGTTTGGTATTGTGTGATGTTTTAAATATTCTGTATGTGAAGCAGACTGTTTACTTCTATGTTTGTTTTTGTTTTGTTTTATGAATGGATGGCATTTGATGTTAAGTTGTGAAGCAGAATCTTATTTCATACAGTTTTTTGTGGATTGTTAAAAGTACCCCGTTGAGTTTTCTTGTCAGCAAACTTTCTGTTTACATTCAGTGTTACTCACCAAAACACATTGTGCGTGTGCTTGAGGCCTAACAAATGTGTTGAATGCATTTCCTTCCTCAGAAAACATTTGCAAAGGAAGAGTTTGTAACTTTTGAGACCCACTTGTAAAAACATTGCTTCATAGTGCTACTATTTGTCAGAAACACCACAGGGCACCTTTAATATGAACCTAAGATTAGGATTTAAACTCACCTATCTATTGAAGTCTATTGCAAGCCACTGAATTGTCCTGATGAGAGTATACTGGGCAGTTTGAATCTGTGATTCATATACCATGCACATTATAAATATTATTTAATATATATTAAGTAACACCCCCAAAATTAGTACATTTAAAGAATACATAGAGCATACAAAATACCAGATGCAGATGAATGAAGCTCACTGCGTACCATTTGTATTTAAAATTCTTTCTGAATTCCTCCTTCTTTCTGCACTGATCTCCAATCCCTATTCCCCTAAAAGAAGACACCAAGATGTGACCTCACAGCTTTCATCCCAGCCAACCAACAAGAACGCTACATACCAGTGGACAGGAAGTGAAAATGTAACTCAGGGTCAAACCCAATATGGCTACAACTACCACCACATTGACCAAAGAACTGAAAACCAGAGCGCCCACTCGGCCTGTGTACATACTAAATCCAACAGCCAGCAAAGCACCACAGATGTCTATGCTGAGTTTACAACTGATGCCACAGCTATACAGTACGGATCTGAGCAGGCTGAGCGCTATTATGAACCTGGAGGTAATGCAGAGTACAGCTTGGATGATCATGGTTCTAAGTTTCAATATATAGCTGAAAGCCAGTATGGCGATGACTCCAACTCCATGTGCGCCTCTGAACTCCAGTGCTCTGAGTATCAAGCTGATGGCCAGAACCAGTATGAGTCAGACCATGCTCATTACCAGTTTGACGGACAGCCATTCTACCAATCGCATGTCCACCCTGAGAGGGAAGAGTATGTGCCAGAGGGATATGTTCACTCTCTCCTCTCCAGGTGAGCTTTTGCTCATACAGACTCAATTTTGCCCTTCAGCAAGTTCAACAGGTCCTGCACTGTGCAAAACTTGAATTCTTAATGCTCTACTGGTATCAGCCAAATGCCCCTTTGCAAGCTAGTCTCGGCCACACAATCTAGTTTCAGCTTTTCCACAGGCGAAGAGCTGCACTACTGTCTTTTACCACAAAGGGGTAGCACAGATCATTGTAAAACTGTGATTAAGCCTTCAGATATCTTACATTTGTTTTCTTTGTACCATATCAGCTAAGGATTGATGTGACAACCATAAATGAGCCTAAAAGTATTTGCAGAGGTGGAAAGAGTTTCCTAGAATATTGTACTCAACCAAAAGTACTGTTTCATTAAATACATTTTCCTCAAGTAAAGGTACTTCTTTAAAAAATGTACTTAAGTAGATGTAAAAAGTAGGTGAGTTAAAATGTACTCTGAGTAATCATTACTTTGTTACATAATAAAAAAGGGGTAGGATGATATATGATACATACTACTGTTAAATAAAAGAGCATCTTTAGGCTACAAAATTGATTGCAAGGAATGTCAACTTATACACAAGTGAAACAACATAAGCAACATGACCCCTTCTGTCCAAACCAACAGACGGGCACTATGCAGTTGGTGCAAATAACCTGATTATCAATTATATAAATAAACAACTGCCTTCCTCAGTGAAGCTTCACATGAATTAACCAGACAAGAGACATAACTCAGACAATTAAACAAAAGAGATAGATAATAAATAAAACGAGCTATGGACACAACAGTGCTTTAAACTTCTTTTAGAATCAACGGTATTATGAAACATCACCAAATCAGACAATGTGTGGACGCAAAAATATAAACTCCACAGCGGCTGCCGCCATTAACACTCACTTACAGCAAAGTTAACACTGCACAGTTTGTACACACCATGCAGCGCGTGCAAGCAACCTCCACAATCTGCTTCTTATTCAATTTCCCGGCTTCTTCATTCTCAAAGTATAATATGACCAGTCCTCTCTGCCTCTTTGTCCTAGTATAAAAAGTCCACTTAGCCTCTTTGTCCTAGTATAAAAAGTCCACTTAGCCTCTTTGTTCCAGTATAACCAGTCTACTTAGCCTCTTTGTTCCAGTATAACTAGTCTACTTAGCCTCTTTGTTCCAGTATAACCAGTCTACTTAGCCTCTTTGTTCTCGTAACCAGTCTACTTAGCCTCTTTGTTCCAGTATAACCAGTCTATAGCCTGTTTATTTCAGTATAACCAGTCCACTGGGCCTCTCTGGTCCCACTGCGCTCCTCAAATTCAAAGTGTTTTGAGTTGAATACGGAGTATCCATCAGCATGTTAGCAGACCCAGCGAGCCCCTATAGGTTCAGGTCAGGAACTGCTTGGTTGTTTCACTTTTTGTGCTCACCGGGGTGAATTAAATCAGACATTAATTAAAATAGATACAATGTGTTTTTTAAACTATTCCAAGGTAAAATAGTGCTAATTATAACCACACTACGTATATAATACTTAATTTCATTGTGCTTGAAGTGCTAGCCTTGGCACGTGAACTCGGCCCATGAATGCAAACATTTCTCTCTTGAGGGCACTGATTTATAAGGTATCATTTCCGGAGTGCAGAGTTTCTGCTCTCTGGAGCTCTGCCCTCCTGCGGCCGCAGAAACACCTGCCACTTCTTCACTTCTGCAGCTGCTGACTAATCTAATTTATCCTCTTCCATTCTCACACCGTTTGCCAGGACTTTTTCATGTGACTTTTGTTTTTACTTCATAAAGGATGCGACTTGAAATGTAGCGAAGGAGGTTACAATAGGCCTAATTGTTATAAATAGATAAATAAGGTAAAATTACACATTTTAAAAAAGACTCCAAAAGTACAACTAGCCTACACAAAAAACGACTTAATTGTAAGGAGAGTAAATGTAATTTGTTACATCCACTTATTTGTCAGTGCATGGTGTTACAGGATATGTGGGTTCAGAAAAGGATCAAAGAAGCAGGAATGAGACCATTTATTGTACAGAAGTCCACACTGGTCATTAAAGATCCCTTATAAGGATAAATTCCAATAGAAGAGATGGAGGACAAAATCCACAGCCCTGGTACCATGCAAAAATAATCCACTCCAATTTGCAGTGGTGAAGTTCTAAAGTGTCAAGTGAATTCAAGTCTATATCCTAGTATCACAAATCATAATTTTGCCCAAAGGGGCTTCACAATCGGTGCAGCATATGACACCCTCTGTCTTTAGACCCTCGATTGGTTGAGGAAAACGTCCCCCAAAAATCCCTTTAACGAGGAGAAAATATGTACGAAACTTCAGGAAGAGCAACTGATCCCTCTCCCTGGATGGACAGACGTGCGATAGATGTCGCATGTACAGACTATTAGACCGACATAATACAATTACAGTAAAGACAATCATGGGGTGTTAGTCAGTCAGAATATCTCAGCTTCTGCTGCTGCTTCTATTTTTCACATTATCTCTCATTCAAGATGTATATTTTCAAAGACATGTTTTGCTATCGTTCTTCAGTGTTTGTAAGCATGTGTCTGTGTGCGTGTGTGTGTGTGTGTGTGTGTGTGTGTGTATATACTACAGTGTAAGCATACTTGTTTTGCCCCACTTTGTAATTCTGATGACCTGCCCCCTCTTTGGGATGCACGGCCCTCCCCTGTCTTTTACTCTGTGTGTTTGCGTGCATACACAGCAGACCTTTTCATAATCAAGTGGTCATGTGACTTGATTGTGGGAAGAGTGGTTCAGTCTGTTTGCTGGGAGAAGACAGAGTGAGGGTAAGGTAGGTGTCCTTAGACAGAGATTTTTTTTAAAGTAAGAAAAAAAGCATGCGTGTGTCTTTTGTTTCTGTAATCATGTGTACTGGTTTCTCTGTACTGCTTCCCTCTGTTGTTAGCAGGCCTTATGTTAATCAGAGTCGGTTAGAGGGGCTTTGGTTGGGGGGAGGTAGCAACACTGCTCAGTATTGTTTCCTCAGCCCACACGTGCAGCCTGGGAGTGAAGCACTGAGTTGCTCTCTGTCCGTAATCTTTTATGTCCAAAGTCATATGAACCGATTTGAAACTCTTCCGTATTCAATGTCATGGGAAAAGTTAGATTTATTTTTGTTGTAGATGGTTGTCTTTGGCTTGTTTGGCCCAATACTATGCCTAGCTGTGCCTATGGTGGCAGTGGCAATAGCAATAATGATTTATGTTGTGGCTCATTATTGTGTTTCTGTGCCTCTGAGCAGACACTCCCAACAGAGAGACGGTGCAGCAGGGATGATGATGAAGATGCCCTCCAGTGAGGAAGCTGCTGAGGAGATGGATAACAGAGAAGGTAAATACAAACAAAGCAAGACAATATTCAATGTTATTTGTATAAGAAAGATTTTAGCAGAGAATTATGGAATTAATTCTCATGATTTCGGTGACTTACTTGTATGTATTGACAGATGTTTAAACCAAGTAGAAATGTGCTACTGATGCTCCCTTTTTTATATGAAAACTCTCTTCTGAGTTTTGTCTTCTGTTGCCAGAAAATCACGTGAGATGATAATCTATGGAAATGTCAACTTTTAACACCCTTTAAATTAATGACCTTATTTCATCATTATTCTTTCCAGACTCTTAATCTATGGAAATAAGACAAATATTTTTTTAAAAGATAATACGGTGGATCGACAACTTTTCTCTGAAAAACTAAGAAAACACTGAAACTGTCTCCCTTTGACCAGATCCACCCTCCTCTGCGGATCTGTCAGGCGGGTCCAACCAAAGGAGAAAGTTGGCAGCTCCACCAATGAATGTGTCACTGGACGGCAGTGAGGGGTCTCTCCTCTCAGAAGATGCCCTGGGCACAGAGGACGAGGCGTTGGATACTGGTGATGACCTGGATCTCAACGTAGATGAGCTGGATACACCTGATGAGGCCGATTTACTGGAGTTCAACGAACACGGTCAGACACACACCTGAACATATAATACAAACGGGTCATGCAGACAGACCCACTCACACTCACATTACATATTTTCGAAGACAATGTACAATAACAATATAAATTTGTTGTTATGTTGTTTTGTAAAACTTGTCTTTATGGCACAAACAGCGGAGTCAGAAAAGTCTAATCTGGGTGCAGAAGCAGCATCAGGTGATGCTATCGCAGGACACAGAGCAGCTGAGGAGAGCAGGGAGAACAGGCTGTGGAGAAGTGTGGTGATTGGAGAGCAGGAGCATCGCATTGATATGAAGTGCATTGAGTCATACAAAAGGGTCATTTCTCATGGAGGTATACAAACACAAATGCTTAAAATCCATACCTACCTTTTTCTGCTGTATGTTTCATAGCGTTTGACCATTTGTGTTCTCTGCTAATGCCCTCCCTCCTAATATTCCCTCTTCATTTGTATATTGCTGTTTTTGTTTTGTTTGAAATAAAACATTGAACTAACAATAAGTCAAATCCAGCTCACTGTTAGAAACTACTACGATGAGCTGTTCAGTGTTTTATCTCAAAATGTTTTTGTTTGGAAACTGAAGCTCTGCCCTGCACTTCCCCATATAATCCCTTTTTGCAGTAAAGGTGGAGGTGGGAAAATTGTTTTTTTGGGAAATCTGTATCATACAGGACAAAAGCACAGGTTGGTGCATATGCAGTGGAAGTGGGTCACACTGACTTTTTTGTGTTAATGTTTTCAGGTTATTACGCTGAACAGAATGCCATCATCGTGTTTGCAGCATGCTTCCTACCGGACAGCGACTGCGACAATTACAATTATGTAATGGAAAACCTTTTTCTGTGAGTAAAGCTGCAATACATTATCAGTGGACGTGTAAATAAGTCAGGACCATAGGCATTCATTAATATGCTGCAATAGCAACCCTTACTCTTCTGGCAAGGCTTTGCTCCCATTCTACATGGGAGCACATGGGACTTTACATGAGCACTGGTGGGGTCAGCCACTGAATAAGGCCTGAATAAGGCCTGGCTGGCTGTCTGTGTTCCAATTCATCCCAAACGTGTCAAATGGGGTTAAAGTTGAGTCAGTCAAGTTCCTCCACACCAAACAATGAAAAACATTTCTTTACAGACCTTATTCGTGGATGCAAGCATTGTGCTGTTGAAAACAGGAACTATTGCTACATAGTTGTTGTTTTTTTCATCATCTGTGTAGGTATGTAATAAGTACGCTGGAACTAATGGTGGCAGAAGATTACATGATTGTTTACCTGAATGGCGCCACACCTCGTAGGAGGATGCCCGGCTTTACCTGGATGAAAAAATGCTACCAAATGATAGACAGAAGGTAATATTCACACAAACAAGTGCACAGAAACGGTAATGTATAATATTGTTGTGTTTAACACACCCAATAACTCATGTTCCCACACCACATTAAACCACACAACTGGCTTATACTCTACATATTTTTTGTCTCTAATAATGATATTAATGTTGTTTTTTCTCTGACTGGGATTTTATAACATAGGGCCATGGTTTTGCTTACATATCACATAGTTACTAAGTTTAAATGACATTACATTACACTGTTATATTATGCAGAATGTCTAAATCAAACAGTAATGATGCATTTAAAATACATTAGATTGATTAAAAAGAAAGAAAGCAACCTTGAATGGGGAAAATGAATAATAAATCATCTTCCCCTTTGCATCATCTTTTATTAAAGTGCTGCTTAGAAAAAAAAAGTACTTTAGAAAGATTTATTCATATAAATAAAGGAGTTTATATGAATAAATTCATGCATGCTCAGCCAATTACATTAATTAATAAACTTTAACTTGCTGATTTGCTTGTATCCGTAGGTTTTCACTGTGATGCAAGAAATAACTACAACTTAGTCAATGTTTGATGATTGTTTTTCTAATGTCGACATAAGTACCGTCACTTCTCATCTATAGAGTTTCATAGATAGGCCAGTAGGGGGCATACCTATCATACGTTGCCATCTATCTGATTTGGATAAGCATAAACCTTTTATTTGCTCAACAACAAATGTGACAGTGATGATGACACTATAAGCTGTGTCAGAAATCACTCCCTCGTTCACTCATCCACGCCCTATATGATAGACAGTTCACTCCATGGTTAGTAAATTGAGATTTCTGTCACTTATGAGTCATTATTTTGAGTCATCACTGATGATGATTTTGGCAGACATAGAAAATTCAACACATTGTGTTGTGGGATTGCTAACAGAAAGTAGTGTAAATACGATAATCAATATGTTTCTCACTCCACTGTGGTAATATTTGATGGCACATTATTAATGTAAACATTTCACACTCACATAAAAAAGTCAGTCAGTGATACAATAAAATCTTAACAGCTCAGTGAGTGGCCATCCTCTTTTAAACTACTACTCGTGCTGTTTTTATCTTCTAAAGCTGAACAACTTCTCTGTGAAAAAACATGTACTCTGCCTACCACTGTCTTTCTACTCCTATTCTAAAGTGTACTTTGTATCTGCCAGAAGGAATGGTTAATTCACTTGATTAGTGAATAAGTAATAGTTGTGAAGGAAGCTTTTACGAATCTTTTCACACCACTTCTGCCTCTCGTCTTGTTCAACAGATTGAAGAAAAACCTGAAGATGTTCATCATTGTCCATCCCTCCTGGTTCATACGGACTTTGCTAGGAATCACCAGACCCTTCATAAGGTCTCATTGTTGTACTTACTGTAATATTTAGAGGACACATCACACAGGACGGGATGTACATGACAGGTTTTAATTTCAGAAAATGCAAACATTGCACTCTTAACGCTACCAATAACTATATCCATGCATGCCACCAGTACGCATGGGAAAGACATTCTCACAACACAACAGTTTCCCAGATACACTATTTCACTATCCCCATCTATGTTCATACTTTGTGATCTCTTTGCACTTGACACCACCACTAATTAAAATACAACACCCTTTACAGCCCTAACTAATTCCAAGAGGACTATTTGATTACACTGGAAATTCAGGAGTCAGTTAAAGCGCACATGACAGTGCACATCACTATGACAAAACTTTATGATTTCTGTTTTCTACAGCTCCAAGTTCAGCAGTAAGATCAAGTATGTGAACAGTCTGCAGGAGCTTGGTGAAATCATCCCGATGGAATTTGTCCACATTCCACCCAGCATTGTAAAGTGAGTCAGCCTGTTTCAATGTGTAACACATGAATATACATATATATGACACTTTTGGCTTCTACACAAGGTTAAAATAATAACACATTTTCCCCTGGTGTGAAAACTGTTTGTTGATATTTATCTTAAAATAACACTTAATGGCACTCTGTCTTGTCCTTTTTATGCTTCCCTCCTCCACTCCAGTTGTGCCTGTTCAAAGTGAACTAAACTAAAACCTGTTTGTCAAATATATAGAATAGCTTGTAGCCAGCAGCTGTTTGTGGACTAAAAAATCTCTCACTCTGCCCCAAGGTATGACGAGGAGAGGGGTATACACAAATTTGCATGCATGAGGTAAATCACCTAACCTGCCTGTATTAATCTCCCTGAAAATCCTTCAACACTGTTTTGAATTTTCTCATGCTGAGATTAACTGTTGACTGACCTTTGGCTGTCTTCTTATCCAACATACAATGTCTTACTTCTCTCAGTTTGTGATGTGGCTTCCCCTGTGAATTGGTTGATTTACCTTCTCATCTGTGACATTTTTGTAGAAATCTAATGAACAAATGTGCTCCCCAAGCTAGGCAGGTTTGTAATGTGATTTAAGTGCAATGCATAGTGGGACAGACTCCAGTCTACACTGGAAAACACCAATTTCACTTTCAGTATGAAAGGTTGCAAAGGGTCCAGAGTTTCAGTGGACTTCACAGACTGGACTTTCTCATAATTGGCAGAAAAATATTATGGGGTAGAGTATTTTAACAGTAGTCGGCTAATTATAGCTTCAAGTGAGATAAGTTACAATATGAGCATGAAGGATTTTTGCAAAAAGCAAACACACATATTAAACCAAAACCATAACAATAGCGGTGTACATTGTTGTCTATGGCTTTATTGATACCACCACCAGATTGTACCATAGTTAAAAATAGGATTCGTGGTTTTAAGGTATATGGCCAAGTTTTAGAAAACTAAAATGAGTCGCTGAAGGTTAAGGAGTCATGTACATGAATACAGGTCACCCGTCGGGAAGATGTGAACATTTGAACAAATGACCAATGCTGTTGTTTTTTCTGGCGAGGACAGTCTCTGTGGAAAATAGAAATATAATAAAAAAGATTTTATGTTTTACGATTTGTATGATTACTTTCAACCATTTATCGTTAGATCTACAACCTAAATAGAGAAAAAGAGTTTGTTTGCAGTTCACAGGCTGCACTCACAAACACAACACTTGCTGATACTTTGGTGGAGATGACACCATGGAAAAGTTAAAGCTTTCTAATTCCAACTTTAACCCTATCCATTAACTAAGGGGCTATGACTTGAGTCTGAAAACTAGAGACCTTGACACTGTGCTTGTAAAAGAAAGTGTTGAACTGTTAGGTTAAAATGTTGGCTCTTTTGACTGGTTCATTGTTGCAGAGCATCTGTGGCTCTCTCCTTTGACCCTGAACACTCCCACTCTAGAGCACTGATGCTTGCTTCCCTTTCCTTCCATACATCCTCCTATGGCAGTGTGGACACAGGCTACTAATCCCCAGCAACTGCATGTGTACTGACAATATGGTCGCCCTCTTTCGCTTGTTTACCTCCCTCACTAACCTTTACTCTCTGCCCTCTAACACAATGCTACACCAGATTGGATACAGAATTGCAAGACACTTCAGTTCAGTAAGTAGTGGGCCATTGTTCGAGCGAGTAATTTGAACATAGACAAAGAAAGAAATGATTCCTGAATATTGCCCCAATATTCAATGGACAGGAAAAGAAAATACCCGTGTTGAAAGAGGTATTGGCCCAAACAAGCAGCATTCAGACATTTCAGAGATAATTTGAGTATGCACATAACTGCTCTGTGAAATTTCTTAAGTAGTTTGTTCAGTGGTGATGTGAAAGGTAAAAGCCCTTGTAAATTGTGTACCTCTCTTTAGCCCTGCATCTTTCCATCACAGAATAACCTGACTGGCCTAATGTATTTTCTAGTCAACTAACTGCTTCTAAACCTGCCCAGGCGTCAGTGATAAAGTACTGCTTTGCAGGACATGAACACATACATGCACTGATTTGCAAGAGAAAAACAAAATAAATGATTTCAGGTTTACTGTAAACATCTCATTGCATTGACATTGAACAGATACAGCTTTAGATTTTCTCAGGCAAAAAAATGTTGAGCCCACTGAATTCTCTCATGCTGGTCTGCATGCCGAACAGGGGTTTCTAAACAGGTTCATGCTAGCATTTCATTAAAAACAGTGGCAATGTCTTTCAAGACTAACAAAGGCTGTGGTAGTAAGAGAACGCTTGACTGGTTTCTGAAATCACCATTTCTATTACACAGCCATGGTGCCTGCTGGAATGAAAGATAATTGATAAAGACAGTAGAAACAAGAGATAAGCATATATCCAACTTGCTGCAGATCAAACTCATACATCTAAGAGCAGGCCTGGTAGCCGCTGAATAAATACTGATTTCACAGTGTTGCCGTTAACAGTATAGATAGACATAACTCATGTCCCATTTTGATTAAGGTCATAGAATATGTCCATTTGCAAAAGGCTTAGTATAGCTTTTGCAGAGGCATGCAGTTTATGATCTGACTACTGCTTTCATTTTCATTTTCATTCGCAACCCCTCTGCTGTAACTGTTTAATTCTAATGCCTTGATGTCAAAAATTGTGGAACAATTATTTCTCTCTCATCTTTTCTCTCACTCAGAGCCGACAAGAGGAAGAACTCTTTTGTTTGACAGTAACAAGATACCTGGCTGCTGCCTATCCTCTCTCCGCATTATGCTGTACTCTACCGCAGAATATCTGAATATAAGCCAGGCTGCAGCATGATGTGTACGGCTCATAGTTGTTACACCAACAACTAGCAATGGTTTAGAAAGGAAGATGCTGTGATACAAAACATCAGGAAGTTGCTTGTTCATTGAGGAAAGTACTAACCTGAACATAATACTGTATTTACTGTGCAGAGACTGCCACTGTGCGGAAGGTTAGATGCTTTACCCTGTATTACTGTACATTACACAGCATTTGATTATGTTCCCAATTCTGTTACTTTTGTTTTCTTTTACTTAATCTTTCATTTGAACAATACTTTGATTCTTATGTAATTCACTTAGGAGGAATTACTAACTGGCTTTGTTACATTCATGTATTAATCTACCCTGTCAGTTGCCATGTGTACCTTTTGTAACCAATCATAAGGGTGGCTCATGACTCTTTCACCTAATAACCAAACACATGCAAACACAAGTTGTATTACTGCACTGTCAATAGATTGCAATGTTAAAGGGTACCCTAGTTAGACTGTAACTTTAGGTAGTCAAGGTTTACAAACATGATCCACACACAAAAAAATGCTTTCTACTGTCCACGTTTGTAATAGCATGTAAAAGAATCGGCAAACTGGTTTTTGAATAGTTTTTTCCGATGGTGTCAGTGGCTCATGTCATTGTGTGTCAACGGCTCATACGATCTTTAAAAGGCTATCATTTGGCTGTTATATTAACACTGTATGTCACTGTGAAAAGACTTGCAACATATCATGAAGGTAGCAAAATAGCAGTTCTTTATCATGACCCTGAGAGCTCAGCTCACTGCAACTTACTGTAAGAAAACACGCAAATAGACAAAACACAAGCTAATTAAGGAAATTTCAATTTGACAACACGTGCTGCATATACAGAAAACACAAGCAAATACAGAAAATACAAACAAATTGGAAACAAGCTGCAAATTTCAGCACGTTTTCATTTTCAGTGTTTGCATGTGTTTTCCTAATTTGCAGTTGTTGAGCTCTCAGGGCCACCGTAGTTATCAGTAGCTGCAGTAATGTGTTGCATGCTTTCAGTTGCTACAGTTTGAGATTAGTCTGATCTGATTACTCACCCAAAAGCAGAATTGTGTACCAATTTCAGTCATAGTTTATCTTAGTGTGTGTGTGTGTGTGTGTGTGTGTGTGTGTGGATGTGCGTGCGTGTGCATGTGCGCGTGTGTGATTGTTAGTGTGTGTGTGTGTGTGTGTGTGTGTGATTGTTGGGGGGGTGAGGAAGAAAATCTAAATGTTGACTGATGGTTAGAGAGGTACAGTATAGAGGTGGCCTTGGTTGAAGTGTGTCATTTGTTTTTCTTATATTTCAATATATATATTCTTATATTTGTGGCTTGCAAGATATTGTTGTAAAGTATGTCAAATGTTTTACTTCATTAAAGACGTGTTCCTCCTCAACAGTCTTTTCAAATACACCATACGCCTCAATAAACACATTGTTCATTGCATCTTGAACCTGAGTGCTCCCGGTACCGAGCCAGTTGCGCAAACACCAGGTGAGAACATGTAGCAATTTATTAATCCTGCATACCTCTGCTTTTAACCTGTAAAATTAGTTATGAATGTTTTTTGTGCTGTTCCCTATTGTTATGTCATCTATTTTGTTTATATTGTAATTGCTTCTATTGTTTCAGCATGTAAAGTGTCTTTGAGTACCTTTTATAGTGCTATACAAATAAAATAATATTATTATTATACCCACATAACGGACAGAAGCCCGGCTAAAAGCTCATAAGAAAAACATTTTAACAAACAAGTCCAACCCCAAGCAACTAAATGAGCACACAACAAAATCCTGAACACAGTATATCTGTTTATAGTGGTGCTAGCAATTTTGCTACATCATGCCACCCACACCCATAGCAAAGGTGCTAATGCTACTCTCTCAAGCATTGTTTATTTGATTCCAGTCATTTCTGTTAATTTGCTCAATGTCAGGCGAAGCCAGAGTTCGTGAAACACTGACCCGACGGGAAAGCAATGATCTTAACATTGACTTTCTGGAGTGCTGCCATATTATTTGACTTTAACAACTAAACATTTTAAAATATATATTAGGATACATAAATCTTAATCTAAATTACCTCAATAGAATGATAATAGCTGCATGAATACTTAACAGTACAATTGTGTCAATATATATTTACCAGAAATGTAGTATCTACATCATCTATTTTTCCTGTAGGAAACCATGTTTAAAAATGTATTGGTACATTTTTTTGATTCATAAATTTGCTTAAGTTAAGGCTTTTTTCACTTTTCTCAAGCCTCAACAGTTGTGTTTAGATGGAATGAATACGTAGTGACATATAAATTAAATGAGTTTTACAGTTGTTACAACCCAGCACAAAGGCTGCAATATAAAGGGAGAAAAGACAAGTGGTAAAAGTAATAAGTACACATTTATTTAAAGAGCATAAACTAACAAAACAAATAAGCAGCCATGTCCGCTAAAGAAGAGGGGCCAGCCGAAGAAAAGGCAACGCGATCCTTGTTCAGATGGTGCGTCTTTATAGCCGTCACCACACCAGGCTCAGGTGGGGCTCATTAGCTGCCAATCAACATCCTGAAAGACAGCAAACAGGGCACAGACCCCTAGAGGAGCTCCAGAGCAACCACAGCTTCACGCTCAACCTGCACTACAGCTCCATGTCCACTGAGCTCACCAGGTGTGTGAGTGTTAAAGATGCCCCCCCTCCCAGGTGTTTCATAACACATCATGACTCCTCTCCTCACCTGTGTGCAGTGAGTACGCTGCAGCGAACATCACCACCAACCTGTATGTGATCAGCCAGCCGTGGCTCTTCTCTCTGGCCTGGTGTGCTGGAGTCCAGTCGGTCACCACCAACGCTCCCCAGCTCCTCAGCAGCATAAGCTCGCCTCTCTTCCTCATGGTAACACGTCAGATACATACACACTGTGTACACTCACTCAAGTACTGTACTTAAGTACACATTTAAGGTACTTCCTCCACGGCGATAAGGACAAAATCTTCTATTCCGATACAGGTTTTTTTTACTGGTAATTCAGTAAATAATCTACATTAAATAACCATAAAGCCTATTTTTAGTCCTGTGTGAATTGTACCGAGTGTTTTTATTAAGAACTTTAGTGCAAAATAAACAGTTTCAAGTGAAACTATAGAGAGAAAAAAAGATCAATATTTCCAGCTACACACTGACTATGTTAACATGCACGCACACAATTACATGCTTATCAGATTAAGACAATAGTTTCTCTATGTGTGAAATACTGACTTCCTTTTGTTATTTCTGTGTGTCTCTCAGAGTCCAGACGAGTACAACCTGATGTGGATTCTCTCTGACCTGGTGTCCCTCGTGCTCATCTTCATCATCTTCATCTTTCACTGGTGAATCTGACAGTTAAAAACTACAAACACCACACTGAGAAAAAACTACAAGTTAAAGTCATGCATTGAAAATCTTACTTCAGTTAAAGTATTAAAAATATATAAATGTCCCTTGTGACTATAAATATATAAACATATATATGAGATGTAGTGGAGTAGAAGTATAAAGTAGCATGAAAAGAAAATAGTCCAGTACTTGAGTAAATGAACAGTGAGCATGATTACAGGAAAGGTCGTACACAAATAAAGTATCTCTAAATTGTACTTAAATACAGTACTTGACTAAATGTAAAATACAAAAGACAAATCCAGTGCAAAGTGTCTTTGTTTTTATTCTGTTGAGGATTTGTTCACTTTATTCCAGCTATAAAACATTCTGCAGAGAGGACGACTGTATGAAATACAAATAACAAAATACTAAACTTTACTTCTCTGGTCACAGCAGCTGAATATTTTATTAGATTTTGTTGATTAATTTTCTACAAATATAAATAAATAATTCATCTTTCATTGACCCCTAAAAACACACCAGACAGAGACCTCTTGATGCTTCTGTTCATTCAAAAATAATAGAAACTAAAACCCTTAAACACCTTTTTTTAAACTAATGAATAAGTGTTTCATGACTTTCTCCAATAATTTGAGCCAGTAATCATAATGTATTATATTTACAATAATCAGATATTAAACATTTTCATTTGGCACCAAGATATTTTAGGAATGTGCAAATGCTTCTTATTCCTGAGTACATTGTTTTTGATGATTCAACAGTCTTGAAGGCAGGTTATGCAGTTATTAGAATGAATTAGACTACATTAGATAATATCAATCAGTGGCTCAATGTCTGTGTGTTAGAGTAGAAATACATTTACAGACAAATAGAAAAAACATTGATCATAATGTGAAGAATCAATAACGTTTACACCGTAAATCACCAATAATATAGATTTGTTACATTAAATGAAAGAGTTTCTCTGTAGAAAATCAAGTGTTTGTTCTACTCAGTGTGATTGATAGGAGAGATGATCAGAGGAGCAGAGTTTTTACCATTATTATTAAGAAATGGACCAAAGTATGGGTAGAGTTTCTCAGTGAAGCAGCAGCCAGTAAAGGAGTAGATAAGAGCTGCAGACTTAACGTCATAAAAGGAGACCAGACCCTCCTCATAGTCCACAAACACCCCCACCTTCTGAGGCTGAGACTTCAGAGAGAGACAGATTGATGGACCAACACAAGCTTTGTACTCATTCACATTCCTCAACCATATCGTCCAGTAACCTTTCTGAGGGCTCAGTGTGATGTGTCCCTTCCTGTTGATCGATTCTCTGGCCACTCCTAAATCCCACTCAGTCTTCCCTTCAACCTGAACCTCGTAGTAAAATCTTCCTGAAGAGAAACTCTGCTTTGCTAAAACACAAACACAAGAATCAAATCTCTTTGGATTGTCTGGGAGATTCTTCTGTACATCACCACATTTAACTTGGTTTCCATCATCAGACAGGATCAGCCAGGGATTTGCTGTATCAGGATCAAGTGTCACATCTACTGCAGACTGCTGGACCCTCTTCAGCTCGGCCTCAAACAGCTTCTTCATCTGTTTACTGAGCGTCTCCTCCAGCTGATTCACAGCTCTCCTCACAGTCCCCTCATGTGAAGGTGGACTGACTCTGACTCCTGTCCAGTCCTTGGTGGGTGGAGCAGTGTTCAGGGTCCTGAAGCTCTGGAGGAGGTGGAGGTGGTCTTCAGAGCAGGAGAGCTGCTCTACCTCAGTGCTTCTCTTCTTCAGCTCAGAGATTTCCTTTTCCAGCTCTTTGATGAAGCCTTCAGCCTGTTTCTCTGTCTTTCTCTGCTTCTCTTTGATCGTGTGGATGAGCTCGGCCTGGCTTCTCTCAACAGACTCCTTCAGAGCGGTGAAGACCTGAACACCATCTGCTATCTCTCTGTCTGCATCTTCCTCACTGAGCTCCACTGAGTGTTTGATCTCATCAATCTTCAGTCGTCTCTTCTGGATCATCTGCTGGATTTCAGTCTCAGTCTTCCCCAGCTCGGCTTTCTTTCCTTCATATTCTTCTTTCAAAGGAACAACATCATGTGTCTTGTGATCTGAATAAGTGCAGAGCATGCAGACACACATCTGGTCGGTCTTACAGAACAGCTCCAGCAGTTTATCGTGCTTCGTACACATCCTGTCTTCCAGGTTCTCCACAGGGTCGATCAGCTGATGTCTTTTCAGACCTGACATTGTCAGATGAGGCTCCAGGTGAGTCTCACAGTAGGAGACCAGACACACCAGGCAGGACTTCAGGGCCTTCAGTTTGGTTCCAGTGCAGACGTCACAGGGAACTTCTCCTGGTTTGGCAGCTTGTTGCCCTGAGCTGCTGCTGCTGGCTTTCTGTTGAGCTGACTGTCTGAACTGAGCAGCCACCTCAGAGATGAAAGTATTGACCCGCAGCTCAGGTCTAGATTTGAACACCTCTTTACAGTTTGGACACTGAGTCTGGACATTAACGTTCCAGTGTTGAGTGATGCAGGTTTTACAGAAGTTATGTCCACATGGTATGAGGACTGGATCAGTGAACACATCCAGACAGATGGAGCACAGAAACTGATCTTCAGTCAGCAGACAGCTGGCAGCAGACATATCTACACTCTGAGGACAACAAGAGTGAGAAAACAAACTGTTATCACATCTTTAGCAGCAGCAACAGCGTGTGTCAGGTATTGTTTTCACATTGTGGGTCTCTGTGTGTGTCATCATGGTAGAATGTGTCCTGGAAACACCTACTGTAGAGGAGCTATTACAGAAGAGGCTTTAAAGTTCAAGGATATTTACCAAAGTATAGAACAGTTAAGTTATAAAACATCAATGTTGTTCCTCTATAATCAGTAAATACATCCACACATTAAATCAGATGCTGTTCTCTGTGTTTGGACAATCCAAAGGGAGTAGCAGCTAGGCTAGTTAGCGTCTAGCAGGCCTAGTTTATCTGCTGCTACTTTGTTCTTTGTTATGGATCCTGGTTTGAACTCACTTTACACCAAATGTTGAGTTTCTCTGTAGAACAGTGAACTCACCAGAGTTTGTCAGAGACTCTGTTGTTGAGAAGAAGCTGCTGGATTCAGTTGAATGTTTCTAGACTAACTTTCACTTTCACTTCAGGAGAAGTGAGTCTGCAGCTCTCCTCTTTCAGAGTGGCTCCTCCTCTCAGTGAAGCTCTGTGAAGGAGCTTTTACTGCCTCTTTGAGGAATAACTTGACATTCAAACAACATGAGTTTGACTTTTTCCTTCTTATTCCTTTATTTTCTTTGTGTGTGTTTTAAACGTTAAATCTGAAATACTGTGTGTTTCTTTATTTACACATTTTAAAGGTTTGTGTGTATTTTTGTAAACATCCTATTGCTGCTGTCTTGGCTAGATTAACTCTTGATAAGATTTACCTGGTCAAATAAAGGTATAAATAAAAGAACAATAATAAAATATTATTATTATACAATAAAGTATACAGCAGCAGCCAAAAGAACAAACAAGTACAAACAGAGAACATAACAGAAGAGGTCAGTGTAAGATATTCTACAGTATGTCACAAAAGAGTTCATAAAAAGTCACAAAAGTCAAAAAAGTCCTTCACAGATTACGCCACAAATAAAACTCAGAATAGTATCTCACACAAAGAACTCATCAAATAATGACGTCATAAATAATGTCATAGTATAGTATTTGAAGAGGCTTGTACTGTAAGTGGACCTTGAGTTGCGGTTGTTTTTTTATCAAACTGCCTCAATATAGGAATAATATTAATAACTCTGGATAATGACACTGTTCACTATGGTCTGCAAAAAACAGAAACTTTCAATGACATACTTTCAAAAATTTGATATTTATTATAACTTAAGGAATCATTTTTTTACACTTTTGGTCACAATTATTAATGACAGAACAATGTGTTTTCTTTAAAGTCAGATAATTATCATTATTAGAGGAGCTGTGTGTTGTAGGGACCATTGAAGAGCTCCTGTGACGTCAGACTCTGCACAGCTTCAGTGGGAAGTTCTCTGTGATCAGGTGATCGTCATAATGCACGATGACGACGTTCACTTCAAACTCTGAAAAGGAAACAAAGAAACAAAGTCACAAAAAAGTCACAATAAATGTCACAAAAGGCCTGACGAGATGACCTCACAGAGAACAATGTATAGTGTGTAAAACAATGAATTTAAGTTTATAAAAATGATTCCTTTACAGATTACGCCACACATTTTTGTCACGTGACTGTTGGTCTCAGCCGAGTCAATCATGGCTTCTTAGTTACACTGAAGAGCTCAGAATTTAATGTTTTTACAGAATCTGTTTAAAGTAAACGGTTTATATGAGGCAACATTTTAAATGAGACATGCGGAATAAAATGTTTTGATGAAATATCCCAATATTAAGCGTTCTTCACACGATGTGTTCACGGGCCGTCGGAAAGATGACAATCTGACGATGACAGTTTTTTCAGCTTCTGGCTTTGAGAAACGGTGTAGATTTCATGATTCTTTAGAATAAATATAAAAACACGCTTTCCCATCCCGCTGGTGGGTTTTGGGGTTCAGAGGGTTAACCAGTGGAACCTTCAGCTCATCCCGGTTTTATGGAGCTTTATAGTGAGTTTCAGCTCATTGTTTATCTGTCTGCTCACAACTACAAGACAATATAAAATAAATAATTAACTTTATTTATGTACCACTTTTAAGGTTACAAAGTGCTTTACACGCTCATCCACCAGGTGCTGTGGCTGCCCTCAGACCTGCGTGCTCTGGTCCAGGACATCGATCCTGAGCTCCAGCAGACGTCGGCTCCCTCTAGTGGAAGGGAGGGGTCGTCACACAGTTACCTGAGAACATTTCAAATGACAGTATCTAAATGGCCAATTTCAAGATTCTGCTTAAGCGTGCCGCAACTAAAATCTCTCCATCTTCAGTAATGTTCAGATGTTGTGATATGGTTTGCTAGAGGTTTTGGACTGCAGCTGCATCATTCCAAAGTGATACTCACTCCCAATATTGCCTCAAATTTAAAAGAGGTTTATTAAGTCATTGTATTTCTCTGTTTTTTATTATCACTTTGGCTTCATTACACTGCAAATTATTTTAAATATCTCTTAATATTTTTGGCAAAAAAAAGAAAAAGAATTGAAATAGTGTTTGAAGCCATTCTTCATTGCTGGAAAAATGTCCAATACACCTAAAATAACTCAGCTAGTGCCTTGTGTCTCAGATACTTCTCCAAGCAGTAGACAGCAATGGGATATGTGTCTGTGTCAAACTTATTGGCAAAGAGGTGATGTTGTTGAAGCAGCCACTGCAGGTCTCCAGCACCATACACACATATATCCCTGACATGGTTGCCTTGACATTCTGGGTACACCTCCCCTTCGTGCAACCGCCACTTCACCAGCCGTGCAATCGCATTGATGTCCGTCATGTCGTATTTGGGGCTGGGCCTCTTTGAGCCAGGAACACCAGGGAGTCGTTGAATGGTTGCCCAGAGAAATTCATCAGGACTGAAGGTGTCTTTAGCCCATTCGATCAGTGCCAGGATACGGTTGTCCTCCAACACACTGCGGATGTAGCCTCGGTTAACCACAATGTAGGCATTTCCTGACATAATGGACAGGTTGAAGGGAGGTGGCTCCTTTATATTTTCTGTTGGCTGAGACAGTTAAAGCGGTGAGTGAATGTGATGGTGACCGTCATTAAAGTCAACTTGAAGTTGCAATGACAAAGTTAATGTCCAAATTATCAATTTAGCCATGTATCGCAGATGTACCTGGATTTGTCCATCAACTATCTGGTGAGCATGTGACACCCTCCACTGCTTGTTTTCAGGCAGTTTTTCTGACTCCAAGCTGTTACTGCCCTTCAATGACTGCAATGCCCTTACAATCTCCAAATTGGTTTTCAGAGGGAAATCCTGGCCACAAAGGTTTATGAAGTATTTCCATTTTGTTTTAGCGTTATAGAGATCAGCCATACAGTTAAGATCAGCCTGGACACGTGGCCAGGCAGCATAGACCACACTCACAGCCTGGCTGACCATAAAGACATTCGGGAAACAGGAAGTAATGGCACTGATGGCAGAGAAGACCGAGGCCTCTGATTTCTTGTCTACATGGACGCAATAGATATTCTGAGGTGCATAGATGGCTCGCAGCAGTTGCTCAAAGTTCTGCACCTAGAGTATATTAAAAAAATGTATTCAGCTTTTGTGTATCATATATGCAATGCCATATATTTACTTGTTGTTACATGCATTTTATTTATTTATGAAACAATTTAAAGGGGGACTCAAAGAATTTAGTATTGCTCTTCCATAAAGTTGGAGTTACTCACAAGAGACAGATTTTAGAAAAAAAAAAAAAAAAAAAAAAAGTCAAAACTGAAGCAGCAGAGACCGAAATATTGTAAGAACTTTTATTGTCTCGTATGGGGCAAGTTCCTTTCCACACTTCCCATAAAACAAGTCTTCTATGTAGACAACCGTGCCGCCAAAATGCCCACTTCTTTCAATTTCTACGCATTCTGTTTTAAATGTAGGCCTTTGACAATTCTCAACACCAAACTGAGATAACCTTGAAGACATTATCAGGGTTATTATACAACTTTGGAAAGAAGACATACAGCTATTTTCACAGACTTAGAAGAATGCCTTGTGACGAGTAAACTGACATATCTTATATCATAGAACAAAACGTTAAAGTATCTTAAGTTTGTGTTCCTCACAGACCGTATTTAAGGGATCTAACCAAAAACCCATCGACTTCAAGACGGGGGAACCGGAAGAGCAAAAATGCTAACTCATTTCTAGGTTTTACGACTCATTCCTGCAGCACTCTGTTAAAATCGTCTACACTGTTTTTTAAAGTTATTTGAACTTGAGGTATTTGAATTTAAATTTAGGCGACATACCTTATGATGCACAACCATGGAGTAAGCCAGAGGGAAGTCCTCTTCTTCCCTGCTTAATGGGAATGTTAAGTATTTTCTGCTTGACTTGAATTTCCTGAAAAAAATTTAACAAATATTGATTTCTGTTAAATTCAGCACATTGAAAAAATTGTTTACAGTTCTGCAATCACTGAAACCTGTAGTTTAAAGAAACACACCCGCAGTCGAGGTTTGCATTGATATAATATGCATTGGGGATCTGAACACTCTTTTGGAAGTCTTTAGTGCTGGTCAGTAATTTGGCCTGCTCCAGTGCCTCTCTCTCTCCCTGCAGGACTGCTGAACAGTTGCACACATTCTCTGGGCCACAATCAGCATCTGTATAATCCAACCATCTGTACCCGAGAATGTTACTAGGATCCCAGCGTATATTTAGGCACCTTAGCAGGGAAATCATCCATAGTAATTTCAGTGCAACAGTGAACTTTAGCAGCAGCCAGACTTTTTTTTGTGAGATCATTACTTAAGGAGTACATCAACCACCAAAACTTGTCAGGAATTCCCCTTTCTATTAATTTGTTTTCATCCTGTCTTTGTTTTCATCCTGCCTGTTTTATTAACTCTCCTGTCATTTCAGACCCTGCCACTCACACCCTATCATCTCTCATTCCCCTCACCTGGTCCTCCAACGCCCATCTCACCTGCAGCCATTCCCTCATTAGCCCCTCACTATTTAGGTCCACTCACTTGCACCTGTTCCCTGTGTAAGGACCTGAGGGGCAGGGTAGTGGCTGGAATGTAGGCTCCACCCACTCCTTTAAGAGAGCATTGAGATCAGGTGTGGGAAGAGACACACCTGATCTCAATACCTGTGTACTGTCCACTAATAAACCACAACCAAGATAGCGTCTCGTAGCTTTCCTTACCAAGGGTCGCTACAATATGTAAACATATTGTATGAAAATAATAATATAGAATGTAATGCTGTCTTTAGATTTTATTAGCATATTGACTGTGCTTCATACTGTGTATGCCGGAAAACCCAGGATCAGATTTCTGTTAGAGAGACGATCTCATAAAGCGGGCTCATGATGTTAGGTGGATGACCAAGAAAAAAACGGAACGTATACGCTACACACCACAAACTTCTAATATAATTTAAAACTCAGGTTTTCCTGTCTTTTCCTGTCGGAATGATGATATGATAAAATAAGTTCATAGAATTAAATTCACTTATTTGACCATTTATTGCTGCTCCTATGTGGACGCATTTATACAAAACTTCATTCCACATTTTATTTTAATTGACTAACAGTACATACCACTTTAATCTGTATTATTATTAAGAAAAAGTAGAAGAAGGATACACTTACTAATATTTTTACTTTTTATATAATTATAAATCACAACTATTATGTAGGTAAGGAAGGGTAAACAGTCCGTTTGGGCCATGGTTTGGATCTTGGTAAAAGATAGTCCTCATGTCTCCCTCTTGTGGTTTCATTTAAACACCAAAGGCAGCTTCCGGCTTGCTTGGTATATCCTCCACAGGTAGGCTACCAGAATCAGAACCGTTTATTCTGCCAGATTATGTTGCAAGGAATTGTATGTGGTGGATGGTGCAATAAAATATAAAATAAAGTGCACAATCATGATAAATTAATGTTTCTAAAACGTTAAGCAGTATTAAGTAACGACAGTAAACTTCGCCTTTTCTAAAACTGGCGGTGCGTTCCCGTCGCCCAAGGGAAACACTTCTGGTTACGGGTAAAAAAAAAGCATGCATATTTACCTAGATGCGTCATTGTACGCTTCATTTGTACGTACTATATTTTCCCACAACATTTGAACGCGACACGTAACCCCCGGCCTGCTTTGGTCACGCGGTCAATGACGTCAGCAGAAGCGTTACTGAAACTGATGTGCCCACACATGTAACAATCACCGCCTGTGAGAGCTTCATTCTCACCGTCACACTGCGACTGGACGCAACTTAAGTGAAACCGGGGCAGTCATCTTCTGAGGCCATTACGATCAAAACCTTTGGACGACATCGTTTAGAATCAGGGTGCCTCTAGAGAAGCTACTGGTAGCTATCTTAGCTAGCACAGCTGGTGAACTTTAAACCATCGCTGCTTTGTGAGTGACGTTCAACTTTATCCCACTCGAGCGAGCGAGCCAGGCAGGTGAAGCTATAGCCAAAATACAAGGAGGGATATGAACTATACACGGGTACGATTTCAGTTCAGCTAACTGTCAAAGAGTTGCTAGCCGGTTGAGCTGATTGGTCGGTCCGACTTCCTAGCATCGTTCGAGGTCATTCTGTGCCGTGTGTATCGAGCCAGCTGTTATCGGGAAGCTAGCGCAAGTCATGAAGAGTCTTCCGTATTTCTGCCGGGGAGAGGTCATTCGAGGCTTCGGGAGAGGAAGCAAGGAACTGGGAATTCCCACAGGTGAGTCTATCGTCTGCCATTGATCTGTGTAAGCGGTTGAGTAACGTTAGCTAACCTGCTACGTAACGTTAGCTCGCGTAGGTAACGATAGGTCAGTCTGAATCGGTCCAGAGTAACTTCACAGAGAACTAGAGTAATGTTACACAAATAACATTGGTAGTATGTGATTTTGACCTAAATGTCCGCCAGGCTTTCTCTGCAGGTACGTGACTATTGATCATTCATAATCGTTGCCGAGACGTTTATCGCTAGTTACGGACAGCTTTAATAAAGACGACACCGTTTTACGCAACGAACGAACCTTTTTGGGGGGGGACACCGGTAGATGTTTGTTTTTACAGTAGAGGTTTGTGTCTAACCATGCAGGGCTTCCAGACAGTGAGGACATTGCCAAAAGTACCCAGTGTGTTACCCACAATTCAGTTCTAACAATGTGGAAAAAAATAATTTTGTGTATTAATTTCTAGCCTTGGAGGTCTTAACAAGCAGTTACAATGTTTCTCCATGTAGAGAAACATGTTTTATCTACTTTGAGGTGACATTGAGCAAGACACCAGCTCTCAGGAGGAGCGGTTCCCCTTACATGCTCACCTTCTTCCTCTTCTTCTTCTTCTTCTGCCTCCCTTTCTCTCCCCCATCTCCAGCCAACTTTCCTGACTCGGTGGTGGACAATCTTCCCGCAGATATCGGCACAGGGATCTACTACGGCTGGGCCTGCGTGGATAATGGTGATGTCTACAAGATGGTGATGAGCATTGGCTGGAACCCTTACTACAAAAATACCAAGAAGTCCATGGTCAGTACAAGAGCAGCAGCATTCACTGCAAACTGCTTGGTGTGTTAGTCAGAAAGAAAGCGTGCACATTGCAAATCTATTGATAAGATGTTAAATAATCTTTTACAATCCAGGGTTACAGGCAGTGACTGTATGGTCACACCAGGAATCAAATCATCCACAGTGGGACAAACCAAATAACTGCTCAATAAAATGAATCAAATACCACTTGTGTTGAATTTTCTAAAGAGAATAGTGGGTAAAGTCTGCAATGTAACACGTTTAGAGACATGTTTGTTTAAGCAACGATGTTCAAGTGAAAGCACTTGTTGTGAAAGTATTTGGCTCAAATATTTAATGCCTTTTAAAATAACACACACTCCATACTTTTTTTTTTTTTTTTTTTTTTTTTTTTTTTCTCCCTCTAGCATTTATTTTGAAACTACCTAATTTTACTAACCTTCTATTACATTCCGGTTTGACAACACAAGGTACATGTTGACGTTACATTTGACAGTTGCAGTACTCTTATAAAGATGCATATCTTTTTTTTTTTATTTTTATTTCAGGAGACTCATGTGATTCACACATTCAAAGAGGACTTTTATGGGGAGATTCTCAGTGTTGTCATGGTGGGCTACATCCGTCCAGAGAGAAGCTACAACTCACTTGGTAAGACACCGCTCCCTCTCTCCACTGTATTGGCATGACCATAACAAAATACAGTATTGCCAAGGCACTGTACCAATATTGAATGTTGACAATTCCCTCTCTCACACACACACACACGCTCCTATATTTTTCCTCCTTACCCACCATGATTCCCCC